ATTTAGCCAGGACAACCCTACAGGACAACCCTACAGGGATTTAGCCAGGACAAACCTACAGGGATTTAGCCACAATTTAGCCAGGACAACCCTACAGAGACTTAGCTGGGATTCCACAGCAAGTATGCTTGCCAGGCAGAAAATAATATATATTTTTCAGATTTTTAAAGACATTATAGAGTTCTTATTTTCTTGAATTCAGAGGTATTTCACAGTTTTTCTGTTCAGTTTACCAGTCAAAATACTGGTCCATTTTGCCAGTCCTATTTATTAACCTATTGATAGCATCATAAAGAAGGTTTTTTACATCACTGATCAGTGTTATATAAAAAATGCCAGGATGCCATCTGGAGCCACAGGCTTTAAAACGTGCAGGCCTGGACTAAATTCTTCTACGACGATGGATTACGGAGATTTTGCTGTCCGAAATTTCACATCTGTTTTTGAGGATGGATTTAGTGACGATGAGCTCAATTCATCACTAGCTCTAAATTTAACATTTAAATCCTGACGTAAATGAGTTCAGTTTTAAATTAAATTTAGACCTAGTATAAATCCGTTATACTACCTCTAATTTCAAAACACAGTAGGTTTATATATTAACATTGTATTTTCACACTGCATCGGTGTGCATTAAAAGCAGTAATGTAAAACTAGGCTTTCTCTTTACTGGTCCTGTCACCAGTGAAACACAAGTCACGTATACAAAGCTATACAAAACTAGAGCATTCGATGTAATAAGTGCCCCGCTCTAATTAACGCCCACATTGATATTTGCTAATGTATTGTTGTGAACAATCCCAATTTGCACCCCTTCCAATTGATCAATGCACACAAGACTTATTTATACTTGTATGATATGTGTGTTATATGCATTATGGGAAATTAAATTCTGGAAAAATATATCTGTTGTGTATAAACATTTCAGGCTGTCAGCATAGACCACGAAATTTACGATCTTTCAACTCTGTTGTTTTTCACCAAAATAATATTCAAATAAGAGCCCACTATTTATAATTTTGAGAGCGCCCTGAGTGCTTATTATGTTGAATACAGATTGCTTATTATGTTGAATACAGTATATTAGAATGAAGTAGTGTGAGAAATGGTTTTTTTCCAATTTGTGAAATTTTACTGATATTTGCATTTACCATGTTTACTTGGTGTCGAGTATCAGCCTCTACATGCTCCGAGAAGGTCAAGATAAATTCCTGGGCTAAGGTGGTCCCCCTGTCAGTACTGCAACCACCCTCATAAACCCAATTTAGTGGCTACTCATTAGTGTGAAATTACCCAATAGATTGGACACTAGGGAGGAAATATATATTGAATACCCAAAGAAAACTATCGATACCAATTATGAATGATGACATGTTAAGAAACATCATATCATCAACGGCCCAAACCATGATCTGGAGTCCTGGTTGATGCAAGATTATATATTTATGTTGGCAGTGATGTGTGACTGTGTCCTGTGTAGCATGTTGAAAGCATGCACCATACACCAGACTTCCTCTTTATCTAGTTGGGAATATCTTCTCGCTGCCTTCTTCTCAGTCCTGGAGGCAACCCGGGGCTGTGCAGAACCTGTCTGGACTTGAAGCTGGGAGATCTGTTCATTTGTTTGTTTGCTGTTTATGCTGCAGTCAGCAATATTCCAGCTATATGACGGTGGTCTCTAAATAATCGAGTCTGGACCAGACAATCCAGTGATTGACATCATGAGCATCGATCCACGCAATTGGGACCGATGACATGCATCAGCCAAGTCAGCGAGCCTGACCACCAGATCCCGTTAGTCGCCTTTTACGACAAGCATAGCCAACTTTTACAGCAAGCATGTGTTGCTGAAGACCTATTCCTCCCCGGATCTTCACAGGTCGAAGCTGTAAGATGAAGCAGGCCAAACAGATAGATTGTCCAGGATGCTGGCAGATCGAACCTGACAAGCACAGTACAGTTATGAAATGCTTTGTCCCACTTATAGCGTTGGTGGATCAGCTTGTACAAATTCTGTAGGAACTTCCATTCGTAGTTTGAAGGGAAACAACTCCCCAACTTTGAAAGTATTGAAAAATGGCTGGGCTTTTTCTAAGCGAACTCAAAATTTGCTTATTATGGACTATAACCGTGACTGGTTTGACTCGTGTTCGGCACTATTCTCGCTGCACTGCCCAAGCGACAACTATCGCAGGAATGAGAAACAAAGGATATAAAGTAAAGAGCTGCAGCCAAACTGACATGTGTTTTTGTTGTTGATTATTGTACACATGACTTGCAAGGGTAATGCTATCGGTCAACATCATCTTGTTCACAGTAAAAGACTACATCGTATCATTCAGCGAATTTAGTAAGAGGTGACAATAAAAACTTGGTCAATAAAAATGTGAAATTTAAGATAAAATATCACTTGACATGATGATTTACCATTGAAATTGTATTTTCTGTTCTGCTTGGCATTGTTTTATATACAGGTGACTGGTCAAATTGTTCCATGTGAAAAAAATATCCAGCACTCGCAATCAGCTGCACCGAAGTGCTACGCTTACTGTTATTATTATTTTAAATATATTTAATATAAAGCTGCAACTAAAATAACATGATATTGGAATATATTACTCCTGATAAAAAAATAGTTTCAGATACAATTTTTCCCGATCATCGCATAAAAATCCTTTCAAGTTATATCATTGGGTAAGTTTTAACCAAATCACCGGTAGATTCCAAGAAAATGTGTGTACAGCTGATTGCTGTTTCTGGCTTAGTTTACGAGAAAATTGGCAAGGTAATCTTGCAATCCCTGTATGTAAAACAATGCCTAGCAGAACAAAAAATACAATTTAAAGGGTAGATCAACATTTCTGGTGATTTTGTATCTCAAATTTTTTATTTTTGTACTGACCAAATCTTTTATCACCCGTTCGTTTACCGGAATTCACTGAAGGGATACGGTGTATTTTTTTCTGCCCATAATATTCGAAATTTAAAAAAAATAAATACTGAATCCACTAGACAACATGCTAGAGGGGAGTGTGCATTATACTTGGATATGCACTGTACTCAAGAAAATACGGTAAGATTACATTTATTTCTTGGCATATGTTATCAAATTGACACATGATTTTTTTTTATTCACACATGAATATCAAACAGTAACTGTCAAATATGAGGTAGTTGTGACCGAAATACAAATTTTTGATTGGCAATAACAAGATTCCGGATCGAGATTCTGACAAAATTAACCAAAGTGTTTTGTTGTCTAAAACAACAGGTCCCCAAATATGCGAGCGAGCTATTTGAAGATTGAGAGTTAGAGTATTGTTGCCCTTTAAGGCTTAATGGAGTATTGCATTTGTGAAATTCAGTTCAAGCTTGGGTGCATCAGCTATTTTCTATACCTCTGCAGTGACATGGCCTATATAGTTTACTTTCCATCAAGAATCTTACTTTGTTTGATGCTGAGTTCGTACTCTTGAAGACTTTTCAGAAGTGTTTTCATCCTGATTCATTTGGTTGTCAAGGGGAGACTAGGTCCAGAGTAACCCGTGCTTGTTGTTTGAGTCAAATGTAAATGATGAGGCTCCGTGTCTTGTTTGACTGAGTGTTCACAGATGGCGTGGATCGTTGCACTGTGAGCATCTTCCTGAGGCAAGGGAATTAACTGACGAAGTCCAGTTTCCACCCTTGCTAAACTGGGCTGGAATTTCTTGGCTCGATCATAGTGGCTATTACTAGTTATGTCCCTTCTATGACCCCCCCTATTGACCAATCAGATTCCACCTCCCTTATCAATTGCATTTGATTAAAACAAAATGGCGGCACCCAGACAAGATAATCAAAATGAAGATTGTATTAAAACGAGTCTTACTTTGTGAAGTGCAAATCACGTGAGCACCTTGATTAAAAACATGAAAAAATTTGGAAAATATCTGTTGATGCTGAGTTGGCAGGACACATGCTTTGCAAATCCTGCAATTGACTGAAATCATCATGGCAGTTAACCAAACCAGATGTCAAAATTTTGTTACACGATTTTGATTTGGACTGTGCATAGACTCGTCAGTCCAGCCAAATTATAACTCCATAATACCAGTGTAGATCGGCAGGGGTTAATATTGCGCTTCATAATCTGTTTACTCCCTTGCCTCGGGAAGATGCTCTGTGAGATACAAACACATTGTATTTTGGTTAATCATTAAGGCACCGTATATCTTGAACATACTTATATATACAATCCTACAATTTACTCAGATATGTGACATAAAAACAAGTGCATGTGAATGACTCCAGATTATAATTGCAAGGACAGACAAGTTTGCCAGCCTTTAGTCCATCCATAAGTTGAAAGGCCTCTTCCCTCGGTCTGGATTCGAGTTGGAATTTGTTCCCACCAACTGGTCATAGGAGGCAATTTAATGGTTTAAGTGGTCAGACAGCGTGACTTTTTTTCTCATAATATCTCTGCATTGTCTGGTTCAATATTTACACTAACGGTCCACTGTCCTTTTGCTGGAATATTGTCGAGTGCTGTGTTGAGCAACAAACAGACTAACGTGTGTATACCCACCCTGGGGTGTTGTGAATTGGGTTAAAAGAAGACCTTTGTTACTATAAGTACTGACACCTAGGTCATAAACAGATTGTACCTGGATGTGCTCAGCGGATTACTGGGGATATTGTGTCATATTGTGTCATGCATTGTTGTTGAGATTGTACCAATTATTATTTTCTTCAAAAGACGAATAATTTTTTTAACGAAAAAAACAACTTTACATTTCCTATTTTAGCATCATGAGTTGTGAATATTGTAGTGCGAGACATACTCAGCTTAACAAGTCAGGCTTACCTTCTTCAGCAGCTCGTGGAAGAAGTTTGAATGTTAACAGACAGATTATGCTGTAAGCTCACTTAGAACTTTGGACCTGGTTAGCTAAACAAGGCTAAAGTTAATAAATTGTAACAATCCTAACTAACTTGATTGTGTTGTTTCTGTTTCACAGGCTCAAGGATATGAAGGATACATGATGGACAAGACAAGAACAGCATCGCCTCCAACCACTGAACAGTGAATGTCACCATGGAGTCAGTGTTCATCAGCATCACGGATCAGTGAATGGCGACATATTTGTACTAACCACAGAGCAGTGAATGGCGACATTTGAGCACCACAGTAGTGAATGGCAACATATTTGAGCACCACAGAGCAGTGAATGTCCCTATGTTGGTCACCGAGCAGTGAATGGTGCCATGTTGATCACCGAGCAGTGAATGGTGCCATTTTGGTCCCCAAGCAGTGAATTGTGCCATGTTGATCACCAAGCAGTGAATGGTGCCATGATGATCACCAAGCAGTGAATGGTGCCATGTTGATCACCGAGCAGTGAATGGTGCCATGTTGATCACCAAGCAGTGAATGGTGCCATGATGATCACCAAGCAGTGAATGGTGCCATGTTGATCACCGAGCAGTGAATGGTGCCATGTTGATCACCGTCCATCCGTGAAATTTGTGCCTGCTTTCAAGAATTATTTTTTTTAACAGAATGAAAGTTGGATGTGATACATGGTGACTTTTCCCTAATCTGAAAACAATATTTATTTTTAACTTGCCGTGTGACCATGCCATATTTATATCAGATAAGAAATCATTAACACTAAAGTGTGAATCATTTCATTTTCGTTAAAAAAATTTCCCATGTCGAGTGATAGTTACTATAGCAACATCAGCAAGATTTGGCACAAGGCATAAGATACCATGCTGTCACAGAGCAATTGACATATTTTGATGATTTTTAACAAATTTGGACGAGGTGTGATGAGATACTGGTGCTAATGTTCACTGACAGTGAAGATCACAGACAAGATTTCGAGTCCACCCAATTGTTACACTGCCTGAGGGAAAGTCATTTGTTTTGTACAGGAATACTCATATCCTTTGTGTGTCACTGAACAGGAAGCTGTCTCTGTTGAAAATAGATATAATATTGGTTATATGTAAGATTCAAGTGTACTGTCATTTTTGAAGATGTGAGACAATCCATTTACCTGGCAAGTCTGTCAAACCAGGTTTTTTGTGTACTGTCTGTTTGAAGATGTGAGACAATCCATTTACCTGGCAAGTCTGTCAAACCAGGTTTTTTGTGTACTGTCTGTTTGAAGATGTGAGACAATCCATTTACCTGGCAAGTCTGTCAAACCAGTTTTTTTGTGTACTGTCTGTTTGAAGATGTGAGACAATCCATTTACCTGGCAAGTCTGTCAAACCAGGTTTTTTGTGTACTGTCTGTTTGAAGATGTGAGCCAATCCATTTACCTGGCAAGTCTGTCAAACCAGGTTTTTTGTGTACTGTCTGTTTGAAGATGTGAGACAATCCATTTACCTGGCAAGTCTGTCAAACCAGGTTTTTTGTGTACTGTCTGTTTGAAGATGTGAGCCAATCCATTTACCTGGCAAGTCTGTCAAACCAGGTTTTTTGTGTACTGTCTGTTTGAAGATGTGAGCCAATCCATTTACCTGGCAAGTCTGTCAAACCAGGTTTTTTGTGTACTGTCTGTTTGAAGATGTGAGACAATCCATTTACCTGGCAAGTCTGTCAAACCAGGTTTTTTGTGTACTGTCTGTTTGAAGATGTGAGACAATCCATTTACCTGGCAAGTCTGTCAAACAAGCTTTTTTGTGAAGGAGATATAACATTGGTTATATGTAGGAGTTAAATGTACTGTCTGTTTGAAGATGTGAGACAATCCTTGCGTCGGCCAGGTTCATGAAACAGTTCTCGTCATGTGGACATTATGTCTGTTATCTGTATGAAGTCAAGTGTCTGATGTGAAGATGTGAGACTGTCTCTGGCCAGTCTAGGAATCCAACAGTTCTTGTACTGGACATCGGCTGTTGATGCAGCTGGGTCAACATGTCTGTCAACATTGTGTCGGTGATGCTGATGATAGTGATGCTCCCTCCTGCAGCAGCAGAATGGCCTCTTGGAGGTAAGATATGTCTTGTATTTGTGTTATGGTGGTCCTTCTTTAAAACTGAGACATAATTTTATCTCAACAATCTTTTTCCAGTTATGTACAATATATCCCTTTAACAATTTCTGACATTAAATATATTTAAGTCTTTGAAAGGCATTTAGAAGTAATACACATAAGTAAGAAAATTTATTTGTTACAAAAAAAGTTCACATACTCTATATCTCCAAGCTTGCATTTTGGCAAACAAACACTAACCCCTGAATCCATTCCCGTCATTCTCAAGATCTCAAATTACCCGCCCTTGATTTCAAGGAGATATTGAGGATGACAGGTTCAATGTACCAATGTGATCCGGATTAGTTTTAGCTTTGTGCCACTGATCGAAACTCTTGAAATTATGTTCTATACAAGACTTGAAGCTAATTCAACTGTATTATAATGGCCCATGACATTCTAAATGGATCAGGGTACCCCAATTTTAGAGCATCTCTCGTACCAACCTTTTAGAGCAATGAGAGGTCTCTGTTATCCTACCCACCGGGGCGTAATAGGTCTTTTGTATCCCAACAACCAGGGCGTGATAGGCCTCTTGTATTCCACCCCAAGGGCATAATAGGTCTATTGTATCCTACTACCCCAAGGGCATGATAGGTATCTTGTATCCTACCCCAAGGAAGTGAAAGGGTATCTTGTATCCCGACCCAAGGGCATGATAGGTATCTTGTATTCCAACCCAAGGGCATGATAGGTATCTTGTATCCCACCCCAAAACATGATAGGTATCTTGTATCCCAGTCCAAGGGCATGATAGGTATCTTGTATTCCAACCCAAGGGCATGATAGGTATCTTGTATCCCACCCCAAAACATGATAGGTATCTTGTATCCCAGTCCAAGGGCATGATAGGTATCTTGTATCCCACCCAAAGGGCATGATAGGTATCTTGTATCCCACCCCAAGGACATGAAAGGGTATCGTGTATCCCACCTCAAGGGCATATGATAGGTATCTTGTATCCCACCCCTAGGGCATGATTCGCCTCTTGTATCCCACCCCAAGGACATGAAAGGCTATCTTGTATCCCACTCTTGAGGGTGTGACAGGTCTCTGTTTTCCTAACTTGTGGAGCATGATATGTCTCTATTATCCCACACTTCAGGGAAAGTTATGTCTCTACTATCACACACACACACACACACACACCCTTCAGGGCAGGATAAATCTATTGTATCCCACCCATCCCCTTTGGCAAATTAGGTCTCAGGTATTATACCATTCGTGGCAAGTTAGGTGAATTAGGGAAAGGTGGTATTTGGTATCCAATGTTTCAGGGCAAGGTGGTACCTGGAATCTCACCCTTTAGGGCGAGGTAGTATCAGGTATCACACACTTCAGGGCAAGGTAGTATCAGGTATCACACACTTCAGGGCAAGGTAGTATCAGGTATCACACACTTCAGGGCAAAGTAGTATCAGGTATCACCCACTTCAGGGCTAGGTAGTATCTGCTGTCACCCACTTCAGGGCAAGGTAGTATCTGCTATCACACACTTCAGGGCAAGGTAGAATCTGCTGTCACCCACTTCAGGGCAAGGTAGTATCTGCTGTCACCCACTTCAGGGCAAGGTAGTATCTGCGATCACACACTTCAAGGCAAGGTAGTATCTGCCATCACCCACTTCAGGGCAAGGTAGTATCTGCTGTCACCCACTTCAGGGCAAGGTAGTATCGGCTATCACACACTTCAGGGCAAGGTAGTATCAGGTATCACACACTTCAGGGCAAGGTAGTATCAGGTATCACACACTTCAGGGCAAGGTAGTATCAGGTATCACCCACATCAAGGCAAGGTAGTATCAGGTATCACCCACATCAAGGCAAGGTAGTATCAGGTATCACACACATCAAGGCAAGGTAGTATCAGGTATCACACACATCAAGGCAAGTACTATCAGGTATCACATACATCAAGGCATATGAATGAAGATGTAATGTCTGAAAACATTGTTTTGGTTACAGAACTGGTTCCGTCAACTCCGGGAGGGGACTATGTTTTGATTGGTCAACAGCTCCTGCTGGACTGTCACCTGAACAGCTCCACAACCTACAACTCGGGCATGTTGTTTGTGGAGAAGGGGGACGACTTTAATGGAAGCTTGACCATCATTGACAGCCGAACAGCTGAGATGAACCTGACCGTCACATCTCTGAGTGATGCTGGGAGATATTACTGTTGGGTAGGAGTATCAGGGGAAGGCAGCAGCCTGTTCGTGGGATCACGCTTAGTGGAAGTTGAATGTAAGTGTAAAATGGTGTAATAATGTGTAAGTGTAATAATTTGGGTAATGTGTCCAGACAACATGGATACAGGTCACTGTGATATAGCTGGATCTGGGTCTGTTTTTTGTAACGTCTAAATGGATTGGGCGGGTGGATTCAGGGACTTGGGTGTTTGTGTAGCATTGTGCTGGTGGCAATCAATGGTTGTCTGGCCCAGCTGGACTTTTTACAGGCTGCTGTGATGTAGCTGGAGTATTGATGACTGAAGCATTAACAACAAACAAACATTTAACACAACAACCAGGGTCTCTGATGTGTCTCTGATAAGACATCATCAAGGGCGAGATGGGTCTCTGATAAGTCATCCTTCAGGGCAAGATGGGTCTCTGATAAGTCACCTTTCAGGGCAAGATAGGTCTGATAAGTCACCCTTCAGGGCAAGATGGGTCTCTGATAAGTCACCCTTCAGGGCAAGATGGGTCTCTGATAAGTCACCCTTCAGGGCAAGATAGGTCTGATAAGTCACCCTTCAGGGCAAGATGGGTCTCTGATAAGTCACCCTTCAGGGCAAGATGAGTCTCTGATAAGGCACCCTTCAGGGCAAGATAGGTCTGATAAGTCACCCTTCAGGGCAAGATGGGTCTCTGATAAGTCACCCTTCAGGGCAAGATGGGTCTCTGATAAGTCACCCTTCAGGACAAGATGGGTCTCTGATAAGTGAGCTTTCAGGGCAAGATGGGTCTCTGATAAGTCACCCTTCAGGGCAAGATGGGTCTCTGATAAGTCACCCTTCAGGACAAGATGGGTCTCTGATAAGACATCATCAAGGGCAAGATGGGTCTCTGATAAGTCACCTTTCAGGGCAAGATGGGTCTCTGATAAGTCACCCTTCAGGACAAGATGGGTCTCTGATAAGTCACCCTTCAGGACAAGATGGGTCTCTGATAAGTCACCCTTCAGGGCAAGATGGGTCTCTGATAAGACATCATCAGGTGCAAGATGGGTCTGATAAGTCACCCTTCAGGGCAAGATGGGTCTCTGATAAGTCACCCTTCAGGGCAAGATGGGTCTCTGATAAGTCACCCTTCAGGACAAGATGGGTCTCTGATAAGACATCATCAAGGGCAAGATTGGTCTGATAAGTCACCTTTCAGGGCAAGATGGGTCTCTGATAAGTCACCTTTCAGGACAAGATGGGTCTCTGATAAGTCACCCTTCAGGGCAAGATGAGTCTCTGATAAGACATCATCAAGGGCGAAATGGGTCTCTGATAACACCATCCAGGTCAAGATGGGCCTGTTATTTTTTATTTGTTTGTTTGTTGTTTAGTGTCACACTCAGCAATATTCCAGCTATATGACGGAGGTGGAGGGATGGGTCTCTCATGCTAGTGATGAAACAACACAACAAATCTCTGATGCACTGCCATACCTTGCCGTTACATGATATTTACCAAAACTGTATCATGAGATACATGACGATACAAAATTTGTATTTTTAATGAAGGAATAACCCTACGAGGGGTGTTCATTAAAGATTTCCCCTAAACCACTTAGGGTAATCATATTTGGTTGAAATTTCACATGTGTAATGATACATGTATCTATGGGTTATGTCTGAATTTGCAGCACCGAACTATTAATCTTACCACTTTTACAGGTGTTATGATCGACTTGGGTGTGACAATGGAGCCAGTAGAATACCGAACAGTGATTAGGTTTTTATATTTGAAAGGTCGCACACCAAAAGAAACTTTAGATGAAATGAAAGCAACTTATGGGGACGATGCCCCATCATATGACGTTGTTAAACACTGGCATCGCCAGTTCAAGTGTGGTCGGACATCTGTGAAAACAGCTGCCATTCCTGGTCGCCCCCATTCAGCCATTGATGAGGACACTATCCATCAAGTGGAGACCGCCATTTTGGCAGACCGACGTATAACTTTTCGTCAGTTAGCACAAGATGTCAAGATCAGTGTAGGGTCTGTGGAAAAAATCATCCAGGACAATTTGAACATGCATAAGGTGTCTGCACGATGGATTCCCAGGTTGCTCACACCTTTCCAAAAGCATGAACGAGTCAATTGCTCAAAGGATCTTTTGGACATGTGCAAAAATAACCAGGCAAACTTTTTTGACAGACTTATCACACAGGATGAAACACGGGTAAATCACTATGATCCTGAGACTAAAGTTCAGTCGATGCAATGGAAGCATGTGGAGTCACCATCCCCAAAGAAGGCACGTGTCCAACCCTCTGCAGGCAAGGTCATGCTCACGGTGTTTTGGGACCAGCACAGAGTAGTGATGATGGATTTCTTGGCAAAGGGTACCACAATCACAGGAGCTTATTATGCTTCACTGCTGCGGAAATTGCGGGACGCTATCAAGCTTAAGAGGCATGACATGCTGACCAAGGGTGTCCGTCTCCTGCAAGACAATGCTCCAGTACACAACTCTCATGTTGCCCAGACAGAATCGCGTTCCTGTGGCTATGAAATCCTTCCACATCCTCCTTACTCTCCTGACCTTGCACAATCTGACTTCCACCTCTTTCCAACCATGAAGTCATTTTTGAAGGGAAAACGTTTCACAGATGATGAAACACTGATTTCTGAAGTCAAGTCCTGGTTTGAGACGCAAAATGAGGGCTTTTACAAGCAAGTTCTCCATAATTGCATAAAACGATAGGAGAAGTGTGTAACTCTTGGTGGTTCCTATGTTGGGAAAGACTAATACCTATGCCAAGTTTCATTCCACTAGGTCCATCAGAAGTGGGTCAGGGGAAATCTTTAATGAAGACCCCTCGTATCTACTTAGAATTTCATTTCATTTCCTATGATATGTATTGTATCATTGCCTTCAGTGTCATTGAATCCCTAGTTGCCAGAAAACATGATTATCACTGTTCCAGATTACCCCAAACTGGTTGTGATCACCACTCAATGATTATCACTGTTCCAGATTACCCCAAACTGGTTGTGATCACCACGCAATGATTATCTCTGTTCCAGATTACCCCGAGCCGGGTTGTGAACACCATTCAATGATTATCTCTGTTCCAGATTACCCCGAGCCGGTTGTGATCACCACTCAATGATTATCACTGTTCCAGATTACCCCGAGCCGGTTGTGATCACCACTCAATGATAATCACTGTTCCAGATTACCCCGAGCCGGGTTGTGAACACCATTCAACGATTATCACTGTTCCAGATTACCCCGAGCCGGGTTGTGATCACCACTCAATGATTATCACTGTTCCAGATTACCCCGAGCCGGTTGTGATCACCATTCAATGATTATCTCTGTTCCAGATTACCCCGAGTTGGTTGTGATCACCATTCAATGATTATCTCTGTTCCATATTACCCCGAGCCGGGTTGTGAACACCATTCAATGATTATCTCTGTTCCAGATTACCCCGAGCCAGTTGTGATCACCACTCAATGATTATCACTGTTCCAGATTACCCTGAGCCGGTTGTGATCACCACTCAATGATTGTCACTGTTCCAGATTACCCCGAGCCGGTTGTGAACACCACTCAATGATTATCACTGTTCCAGATTACCCCGAGCCAGTTGTGATCACCACTCAATGATTATCACTGTTCCAGATTACCCTGAGCCGGTTGTGATCACCACTCAATGATTATCACTGTTCCAGATTACCCCGAGCCGGTTGTGATCACCACTCAATGATTATCACTGTTCCAGATTACCCTGAGCCGGTTGTGAACATCACGTGTGTGAAGTACAACTGGGACGAAAAAATGAACTGCACCTGGGACCTTGGTGTAAACTACGTCAACGCTTCCAATATTGAAGTTTCTTTTTTTTACCAGACACGGAGAGGGTATGTTTGAAAGATTTGCCCTTTAAATGGATAACCTTTAGATATGCTTTTCCAAATACAGCTGACTAAACGATTTAGTAGACAACCATCATGTACTTAGATGTAGCTTAGCGCCTGCATAGACTTGGTCCCGTACAGCCTGTGCCTTGATGAATCTGTGGTCAGGTTCTGTGCCTTGATGAATCTGTGGTCAGGTTCAGTAACTTGATGAATCTGTAGTCAGGTTCAGTAACTTGATGAATCAGTAGTCAGGTTCAGTGACTTGATGAATCTGTGGTCAGGTTCAGTGACTTGATGAATCGGTGGTCAGGTTCTGTGCCTTGATGAATCTGTAGTCAGGTTCAGTAACTTGATGAATCTGTAGTCAGGTTCAGTAACTTAATGAATCAGTAGTCAGGTTCAGTGACTTGATGAATCTGTGGTCAGGTTCTGTGCCTTGTTGAATCTGTGGTCAGGTTCAGTAACTTGATGAATCAGTAGTCAGGTTCAGTGACTTGATGAATCTGTGGTCAGTTTCTGTGCCTTGATGAATCTGTGGTCAGGTTCTGTGCCTTGATGAATCGGTGGTCAGGTTCAGTGACTTGATGAATCGGTGGTCAGGTTCAGTGACTTGATGAATCGGTGATCAGGTTCAGTGACTTGATGAATCGGTGATCAGGTTCAGTGACTTGATGAATCGGTGGTCAGGTTAAGTGACTTGATGAATCGGTGGTCAGGTTCAGTGACTTGATGAATCGGTGATCAGGTTCAGTGACTTGATGAATCGGTGGTCAGGTTCTGTGCCTTGATGAATCTGTGGTCAGGTTCTGTGCCTTGATGAATCTGTGGTCAGGTTCTGTGCCTTGATGAATCGGTGATCAGGTTCAGTGACTTGATGAATCGGTGATCAGGTTCTGTGACTTGATGAATCGGTGGTCAGGTTCAGTGACTTGATGAATCTGTGGTCAGGTTCTGTGCCTTGATGAATCCGTGGTCAGGTTCAGTGACTTGATGAATCGGTGGTCAGGTTCAGTGACTTGATGAATCGGTGGTCAGGTTCAGTGACTTGATGAATCTGTGATCAGGTTCTGTGACTTGATGAATAGGTGATCAGGTTCAGTGACTTGATGAATCTGTGGTCAGGTTCAGTGACTTGATGAATCGGTGGTCAGGTTCAGTGACTTGATGAATCTGTGGTCAGGTTCAGTAACTTGATGAATCTGTGGTCAGGTTCTGTGCCTTGATGAATCCGTAGTCAGGTTCAGTAACTTGATGAATCGGTGGTCAAGTTCAGTGACTTGATGAATCGGTGATCAGGTTCAGTAACTTGATGAATCCGTGGTCAGGTTCAGTGACTTGATGAATCTGTGGTCAGGTTCTGTGCCTTGATGAATCTGTGGTCAGTTTCTGTGCCTTGATGAATCCGTGGTCAGGTTCAGTGACTTGATGAATCTGTGGTCAGGTTCAGTGACTTCATGAATCAGTAGTCAGGTTCAGTGACTTCATGAATCTGTGGTCAGGTTCAGTGACTTGATGAATCTGTAGTCAGGTTCAGTAACTTGATGAATCGGTGGTCAGGTTCAGTGACTTGATGAATCGGTGATCAGGTTCTGTGCCTTGATGAATCCGTGGTCAGGTTGAGTGACTTGATGAATCTGTGGTCAGGTTCTGTGCCTTGTTGAATCTGTGGTCAGTTTCTGTGCCTTGATGAATCCGTGGTCAGGTTCAGTGACTTGATGAATCTGTAGTCAGGTTCAGTGATTTGATGAATCTGTAGTCAGGTTCTGTGACTTGATGAATCTGTGGTCAGGTTCAGTGACTTGATGAATCTGTGGTCAGGTTCTGTGCCTTGATGAATCTGTAGTCAGGTTCAGTGACTTGATGAATCTGTAGTCAGGTTCAGTGACTTGATGAATCTGTAGTCAGGTTCAGTGACTTGATGAATCTGTAGTCAGGTTCAGTGACTTGATGAATCTGTAGTCAGGTTCAGTGACTTGATGAATCTGTAGTCAGGTTCTGTGCCTTGATGAATCTGTAGTCAGGTTCAGTGACTTGATGAATCTGTGGTCAGGTTCAGTGACTTGATGAATCTGTGGTCAGGTTCTGTGCCTTGATGAATCTGTGGTCAGGTTCAGTGACTTGATGAATCTGTGGTCAGGTTCAGTGACTTGATGAATCTGTAGTCAGGTTCAGTGACTTTATGAATCTGTGGTCAGGTTCAGTAACTTGATGAATCGGTGGTCAGGTTCAGTGACTTGATAAATCCGTGTTTAGGTTCAGTAACTTGATGAATCGGTGATCAGGTTCTGTGCCTTGATGAATCCGTGGTCAGGTTCAGTAACTTGATGAATCGGTGATCAGGTTAAGTGACTTGATGAATCCGTGGTCAGGTTCTGTGCCTTGATGAATCGGTGGTCAGGTTCTGTGCCTTGATGAATCGGTGATCAGGTTCAGTAACTTGATGAATCTGTGATCAGGTTCTGTGCCTTGATGAATAGTGGTCAGGTTCAGTGACTTGATGAATCTGTGGTCAGGTTCAGTGACTTGATGAATCGGTGGTCAGGTTCTGTGACTTGATGAATCGGTGGTCAGGTTCTGTGACTTGATGAATCGGTGATCAGGTTCTGTGCCTTGATGAATAGTGGTCAGGTTCTGTGACTTGATGAATCGGTGATCAGGTTCTGTGCCTTGATGAATAGTGGTCAGGTTAAGTGACTTGATGAATCGGTGGTCAGGTTCAGTGACTTGATGAATCGGTGGTCAGGTTCTGTGACTTGATGAATCGGTGGTCAGGTTCTGTGCCTTGATGAATCGGTGATCAGGTTCAGTAACTTGATGAATCGGTGATCAGGTTCTGTGCCTTGATGAATAGTGGTCAGGTTCAGTGACTTGATGAATCGGTGGTCAGGTTCTGTGACTTGATGAATCGGTGGTCAGGTTCTGTGCCTTGATGAATAGTGGTCAGGTTCAGTGACTTGATGAATCATTAGTCAGGTTCAGTAACTTGATGAATAGTGGTCAGGTTCAGTGACTTGATGAATCGGTGGTCAGGTTCAGTAACTTGATGAATCGGTGGTCAGATTCAATGACTTGGTTGATTGCATGTCATCATACCCTGATGGATCATTGCTCATAATATCAATCATTGGTTTATCTGGTCCAGACTTTGTTATTCACCTACTGCTGTCACGCTGGAATATTGCCCAGTGCGGTGTTAAACAACAAACAAACAAATACAGTACCCCATGCTTGTCAGTGTCAGTGAGTATCGACAATACTCTTCACCTTGTGTCAGTGAGTATTGACAATGCCCTTCACCTTGTGTCAGTGAGTATTGACAATACTCTTCACCTTGTGTCAGTGTGTATTGACAATGCCCTTCACCTTGTGTCAGTGAGTATTGACAATACTCTTCACCTTGTGTCAGTTAGTATTGACAATACCCTTCACCTTGTGTCAGTGAGTATTGACAATGCCCTTCACCTTGTGTCAGTGAGTATTGACAATACCCCTCACCTTGTGTCAGTGTGTATTGACAATACCCTTCACCTTGTGTCAGTGAGTATTGACAATACCCTTCACCTTGTGTCAGTGAGTATTGACAATACCCCTCACCTTGTGTCAGTGTGTATTGACAATGCCCTTCACCTTGTGTCAGTGAGTATTGACAATACCCCTCACCTTGTGTCAGTGAGTATTGACAATACCCTTCACCTTGTGTCAGTGAGTATTGACAATACCCTTCACCTTGTGTCAGTGAGTATTGACAATGCCCTTTACCTTGTGTCAGTGTGTATTGACAATACTCTTCACCTTGTGTCAGTGTGTATTGACAATACCCTTCACCTTGTGTCAGTGAGTATTGACAATACTCTTCACCTTGTGTCAGTTAGTATTGACAATACCCTTCACCTTGTGTCAGTTAGTATTGACAATACCCTTCACCTTGTGTCAGTGAGTATTGACTTACCCCTCACCTTGTGTCAGTGTGTATTGACAATACCCTTCACCTTGTGTCAGTGAGTATTGACAATACCCTTCACCTTGTGTCAGTGAGTATTGACAATACCCTTCACCTTGTGTCAGTGAGTATTGACAATACCCTTCACCTTGTTTCAGTGAGTATTGACAATACCCTTCACCTTGTGTCAGTGAGTATTGACAATACCCTTCACCTTGTGTCAGTGAGTATTGACAATGCCCTTTACCTTGTGTCAGTGAGTATTGACAATACCCTTCACCTTGTGTCAGTGAGTATTGACAATACCCTTCACCTTGTGTCAGTGAGTATTGACAATACCCTTCACCTTGTGTCAGTGTGTATTGACAATACCCTTCACCTTGTGTCAGTGAGTATTGACAATACCCTTCACCTTGTGTCAGTGAGTATTGACAATGCCCTTCACCTTGTGTCAGTGAGTATTGACAATGCCCTTCACCTTGTGTCAGTGAGTATTGACAATGCCCTTCACCTTGTGTCAGTGAGTATTGACAATACTCTTCACCTTGTGTCAGTGAGTATTGACAATACCCTTCACCTTGTGTCAGTGAGTATTGACAATACCCTTCACCTTGTGTCAGTGAGTATTGACAATGCCCTTCACCTTGTGTCAGTGAGTATTGACAATACTCTTCACCTTGTGTCAGTTAGTATTGACAATACCCTTCACCTTGTGTCAGTGAGTATTGACAATGCCCTTCACCTTGTGTCAGTGAGTATTGACAATACTCTTCACCTTGTGTCAGTGAGTATTGACAATACCCTCCACCTTGTGTCAGTGAGTATTGACAATGCCCTTCACCTTGTGTCAGTGAGTATTGACAATGCCCTTCACCTTGTGTCAGTGAGTATTGACAATGCCCTTCACCTTGTGTCAGTGAGTATTGACAATGCCCTTCACCTTGTGTCAGTGAGTATTGACAATACCCCTCACCTTGTGTCAGTGAGTATTGACAATACCCTTCACCTTGTGTCAGTGAGTATTGACAATACCCTTCACCTTGTGTCAGTGAGTATTGACAATACCCCTCACCTTGTGTCAGTGAGTATTGACAATACCCTTCACCTTGTGTCAGTGAGTATTGACAATACCCTTCACCTTGTGTCAGTGAGTATTGACAATGCCCTTTACCTTGTGTCAGTGAGTATTGACAATGCCCTTCACCTTGTGTCAGTGAGTATTGACAATACCCTTCACCTTGTGTCAGTGAGTATTGACAATACCCTTCACCTTGTGTCAGTGAGTATTGACAATACTCTTCACCTTGTGTCAGTGAGTATTGACAATGCCCTTCACCTTGTGTCAGTGAGTATTGACAATACCCCTCACCTTGTGTCAGTGTGTATTGACAATACCCTTTAGACCAGTATTGACAATACTTCACCAGATGAACAATAGGCCAGTATTGACAATACTTCACCAGATGAACAATAGACCAGTATTGACAATACTTCACCAGATGAACAATAGACCAGTATTGACAATGCTTCACCAGATGATCAATAGGCCAGTATTGGCAATACTTCACCAGGTGAACAATAGGCCAGTACTGACAATACTTCACCAGGTGAAGTATAGACCAGTATTGACAATAATTCACCAAATGAACAAGACAATAGACCAGTATTGACAATAACTCACCAGATGGAGAAGACAATAGATCAGTATAGAACATACTTTATCAGATGGACAAGACAATAGACCAGTATTGACAGTAATTCACCAGGTGGAGAAGACAATAGACCAGTATTGACAATAACTCATCAGATGGACAAGACAAGTGCAACACAGCAAGTCACTTTTATAACAATATCAGTTACAACAGCATAACTCAAGCCACTTCTGACAATACCAGTCACAAAAGTTGGTAAACACAACTTTAACCAGGTCATAACATTTTGTTTTATCTTTTGCCACTAACTTTTCAGTGATAACGACACAGATGTGACTAGGTAATATTCCTACATTTAAAGACACAGTCTCTCTCTGCATGACATGAACACAACGACGTCATCAAGTTGATATGGCTGAGATACAGCGGCCCATGAAGTCAAACCCTACCTCACCCACTCATTCACCCACTCATCTCTGTCTTCATCCTTTCCTTCAACCCTAAAGCCTTTTTTAATATTAATTGGTTTGCAGATTTAATTCTCTGAACTATGGGTTGGTGATGATAATAAAAATAGAATCAAATCAGCTAGACCCTTCAATTAGACACTTCAGATAGACCCTTTAATTAGACACTTCAGTTAGGCCCTTCAATTAGACACTTTAGCTATACCCTTCAATTAGACACTTCAGCTAGACCCTTCAATTAGACACTTCAGTTACGCCCTTCAATGAGACACTTCAGCTATACCCTTCAATTAGACACTTCAGCTATACCCTTCAATTAGACACTTCAGCTATACCCTTCAATTAGACACTTCTGTTAGACCCTTCAATTAGACACTTCAGCTATACCCTTCAATTAGACACTTCAGTTAGACCCTTCAATTAGACACTTCAGCTATACCCTTCAATTAGACACTTCAGCTATACCCTTCAATTAGACACTTCAGCTATACCCTTCAATTAGACACTTCAGTTAGACCCTTCAATTAGACCCTTTAGATAGACCCTTCAATTAGACACTTCAGTTAGGCCCTTCAATTAGACACTTCAGATAGACCCTTCAATTAGACACTTCAGCTAGACCCTTCAATTAGACACTTCTGTTAGACCCTTCAATTAGACACTTCAGATAGACCCTTAAATTAGACACTTCAGATAGACCCTTCAATTAGACACTTCAGTTAGGCCCTTCAATTAGACACTTCAGATAGACCCTTCAATTAGACACTTCAGCTAGACCCTTCAATTAGACACTTCTGTTAGACCCTTCAATTAGACACTTCAGTTAGCCCAATCAATTAGACCCTTTAAATAAGACACTTCAAGAACCATGAAGATCCGGGGTAGAATAGGACTTCAGCAACCCATGCTTGCCGCAAAAGGCAACTATGCTTGTCGTTAGACCAACGGGATCGGGTGGTCAGGCTCGCTAACTTGGTTGATGCTTGTCATTGTATCCCAATTGCTGACCTCTAGCCCAAAATGCGACTCAAAATGATAGTCATTTTTGAAACATAAATGCAAAGTCTAATGCGAGCAAAGACCTCTTGCATTGTTCCCATTTAATTCACACTCATGTTAATTTCAAGATTTACAGTAGACACTATAATTTAAGTCCCTTTAATAAAAACTTCAATTTGAAACAATGTGGTTTTCTTTTCATGAGTGTGATTGCAGAAAAGGCAGTAATAATAAATCCTTAATTTCTTTTCTTCTATTATATTTTTTTCTGGTTTATAGTGTCTGGGATCTGTAAACCAAGTAATAAAAGGCCGGCCCAACTACCTTCGTCTCTGTGAATGGCATCCATACCTACTAATATGCAACATGATGTTTTATTCAGATCACTAACAATGATATACAGTATGGCTTCTCAGAGATCATCAAATGAATGTGCATGTCTCCCTTTCAGTGCTTAACGTATGCTAGTTGAACACAAGTGTAATCATTTTCCCGAGGCAAGAGCGTCCACTCAAATATACACAATAAGGGCTGGCGATGAGAAAACTATAAACGATTACCGTATTTGATGTAATAAGCGTCCAGGGCGCTCTCAAAATTAGAAATAGGGGGCTCTTATTAGAATATTATTTTGGTGAAAAAAATAGAGTTGAAAGATAAATTTCGTGGTTTATGCTGACAGACTGAAATGTTTATGTGCGACAGATATATTTTTCTAGAATTTAATTGCCTATAATTAAGGGTGCATATAACACACACATACACACCAATAAATAAGTCATTGATCAATCGGAAGGGGTGCTAATTGGGATTGTTCACTAGCCAATATATTAGCAAATATCGCCGTGGGCGCTTATTAAAGCGGGGCGCTTATTACGTCAAATACGGTATCTATATTAAATTGTTGTCATCGATATTAAGCTACATGAACTATTGTGATGAAATAAAGTATAGATTTACTGAAACAGACTTGTTATTGTCAATATTGTCAATAGTTGAAGACAGAAAGTAATGCTTTTTGTTATATCTCAAATGTCCACAAATCATTCGATGTATCAATGTGTCACTTCTCACCAGTGGTATAGAATTTGTTGATTTCTTTCGGGATATTCTTGTATATTTACTTAAAGTTACTTCTCCGATATTTATCATAATTGATCAATATTTAGTGGGCGATTATCAATCTCTGTAATCTATATCGATAGCCAGCTTTATACACAATACCTGTAAATCTTAGATTAAGATTTTTCGGCTGTCTCAAACTCAAATCTACACAATTAGGGCTGGCGATGAGAAAACTATAAACGATTACCGTATTTGATGTAATAAGCGTCCAGGGCGCTCTCAAAATTAGAAATAGGGGGCTCTTATTAGAATATTATTTTGGTGAAAAAAATAGAGTTGAAAGATAAATTTCGTGGTTTATGCTGACAGACTGAAATGTTTATGTGCGACAGATATATTTTTCTAGAATTTAATTGCCTATAATTAAGGGTGCATATAACACACACATACACACCAATAAATAAGTCATTGATCAATCGGAAGGGGTGCTAATTGGGATTGTTCACTAGCCAATATATTAGCAAATATCGCCGTGGGCGCTTATTAAAGCGGGGCGCTTATTACGTCAAATACGGTATCTATATTAAATTGTTGTCATCGATATTAAGCTACATGAACTATTGTGATGAAATAAAGTATAGATTTACTGAAACAGACTTGTTATTGTCAATATTGTCAATAGTTGAAGACAGAAAGTAATGCTTTTTGTTATATCTCAAATGTCCACAAATCATTCGATGTATCAATGTGTCACTTCTCACCAGTGGTATAGAATTTGTTGATTTCTTTCGGGATATTCTTGTATATTTACTTAAAGTTACTTCTCCGATATTTATCATAATTGATCAATATTTAGTGGGCGATTATCAATCTCTGTAATCTATATCGATAGCCAGCTTTATACACAATACCTGTAAATCTTAGATTAAGATTTTTCGGCTGTCTCAAACTCAAATCTACACAATTAGGGCTGGCTAAAAAGGTTGATAATTTGAAATTATGGTTGATTGGAAGAACTATTAAGGATTATCTATATGAAATTGTTGTCATCGATATTAACTTACATAAACTATTGTGATGAAATAAAGTATAGATTTACTGAAACAGGCTTGTTATTGTCAGTAATGTCAATTGTCGAAGACGGAAGGCAATGTTTTTTGTTATATCTCAAATGTCCACAAAACATTCTATGTATAAATGTGTCACTTCTCACCAGTGGTATAGACTTCCCGAGGCAAGTGAGTTAACTGACTATGAAAGTCCAGTTTCCACTCTTGCCGAACTAGGCTGGTATTATGGATTTACATTTTGGCTGGACTAACGAGTCTATGCATAGTCCAATCAAAATCGCGCACCAAAATTGGATTCCGGTTCGTAGAGTGTCATGCAGATTTTGGTCGACTGCAGGATTTGCAAAATATGTGCACTGCTAACTCCTTGTAAACAGATATTTTCTAAATCTTTTCATGTTTTTAATCAAGGTGCTCACGTGTTTGATGCACTTCGTGATGTAAGACTCGTTTTATCACAATATAGATCTTAATTATCGATCAGATCGTCTTGACTGGGCGCCACCATTTTGTTTGAAACAAATGCAAGTGATATGAGAGGTTGAATCTGATTGGTCAATAGGGGAGGCATAGAAAAGACATAACACGTAATAGCCACTGGTGGCGCTACGATCGAGCCCAGGAATTCCAGCCTAGTTCGGCAAGGGTGGAAACTGGACTTTCAAAGTCAGTTAACTCTCTTGCCTCGGGAAGATGCAGTGGTATAGAATATGTTGATTTTTTTCGGGATATTCTTGCATATTTGCTCAATATTTAGTTGGCGATTATCGTTCATTGTAATCAATATCGATAGCCAGCCCTATACACATTACCTGTAAATCTTAGATTTAGTGATAGTTTAAGATTTTGTGGCTGTTCCATACTCAAATATACCCAATACCTTTAAAACATAGGTTTGGTGATGGATTACCATTTTTTAACAGTTGTAAGATCTGAATTAAGATTATGTCGAATGTGCGTGAAATGTGTGCCACTTTTCTGTCGGCAGGGGGAAAAGATGCCCCAACCAGACCCAGACAGGGTGCTACTTTACAAGGTACAACTTTCCCAGTCTAAAGTATGTTGTCCGCGTGAAGAACAAGAGGACGAATGAGCCAGTGAATGGCAGACCCATCTTCTCAAAATGTAATGATCTCGGTAAGGACAGGTTTATGTTACATGTTTAAATTAACCATTATGGTATTTTAAAACAGTTTGAAGTTAGCAGTCTCGTTAAAATCAGATATTTTACTCCGATACAATATCTGCATCAAGATCTTTCAAAAACCTCCATAGGAGAGTCAGTAAAACCTAGTAAACAACCCCATATTATATTAAAGCGAAATATTCTGCGATGACTATGGTTGACTTTGAAGGTCGAGGTCATTACTTATAAATTATCTTGGAAACTGGTTCTGACCACAATAACCTGATATTCCAGGACCTCCGAACATCCGTTACAACGCCAGCAGTAGAATATGCTTTGGTTATGTTTTGTAATAGCTAACTTCACGTTTTAAAAATGCAATCATCATAGAATATATATATATATGAACATCGATGTGCAAATAATACTTGTGGAATAACTTTGATTTGTATAAATATTCTGTTTTCCAGTTAAACCTGATCCAATCAATGTCATCAATGTCAATACAACAAAAACTAATTTCACCTTGGTCTGGAATCATAATAAGCGACTTCGAGCAAAAATGTACCGTTTCCGTTTCCACAAAGTCGGAGATGCAGACTGGAAGGTAATTCTCCCACTATTCAACTTTGTGTGATCACTCACTCACTCACTCTCTCTCACTCACTCACACACTCACTCACTCACTCACTCACTCACTCACTCACTCACTCACTCACTCACTCCACTCACTCACTCACTCACTCACTCACTCACTCACTAATGAAGCAGATCAACATGTCCTTCACCTTGGGGGGAAGTGTGGTAGCCCTGAGGTTGAAAAGGTTGCTCATTGCCCTGAAGACCTGGGTTCGATTCCCAACGTGGTTACACTGTAATGATATGTTTTTGGTGTCCCTCGCTATGATATTGCATGAACACTGAACATCTCTTACACTGAATCATTTTTTTTTCCACCTGATAGTAACTATTTATAGATGTCCTAAGTTTGAATAGTCATTTATGTGCATGAATTGATCTTGCAAAATATGTTCTATGTACCTGGTCATTTCTGACATCCATCCCAGTGCATTCAAAGCTGAAGATGGCCAGATTACCCAATAATTGTACAGGTTCTCAAAAAGTTCTCTTCAAAAGAACCGGAGGTGTAGCCTTATGGTTAAAGCGTTCGCTCATCACGCTGAAGGCCTGGGTCGATTCCCCACATGGGTACAATATGTAAAGCCCATTGCCGGTGTCCCCTGTCGTGATATTGCTGGAATATTGCTAAAAGCGGCGTAAAACCCTACTCTCTCACTTTTCAAAAGAAATGCAGTTCATTGCAGAATCAGCCTTAATCTTTGCGGAGCTTGTGAAAATACATGCATGAACATGGCCACACAGCCTTTTTAATGGCAATCATCATGTATCTGTGTGACAGGAAGTCCTGAAAAAACCTGCACCAGACTTTGAGGAGGAGCCTCCAAGCATGAGTCAGACAGTGGTGGGTTTACGGCCATACACCCTGTACGAGGTGGAGATGGACACCCGGCCCACTCCTACCACTGGATACTGGAGTGACAAGGTCACCAGGACCAAGAGGACACTGGAAGATGGTGAGTGTTGGAGGTCAGGTGTGGGTGTTGGGAGGTCAGCTGTGAGGGTTGGAGGTCAGCTGTGAGTGTTGGAGGTCCGATGTGAGTGTTAAGAGGTCCGATGTGAGTGTTGGAGGTCAGGTGCGAGTGTTGGAGGTCAGTTGTGAAAGGAGGTCAACTATGAGTGTTGGAGGTCAGATGTGAGTGTGGGAGGCCAAATTTGAAGGCTAAGGGTCAGCTGTAAGTGTTGGAGGTCAGATGTGAATGTAAGAGGTCAAATATGAGTGTTGTAGGTCAGATGTGAGAGTTAGAGGTCAAATGTGAGGGCTGGAGGTCAGATGTTAGTGTTGGAGGTCAGACATGTGTTAGAGGTCAAATGTAAGTGTTGGAGGTTAACTATGAGTTTTGAAGGTCAGCAGTGAGCATTGGAGGTCAATTGTGAGTGTTGCAGGTAATCATTGGAATTTGATGGTTGTCTGACATTTGGCCCCATGTACCTAAGTACCTAATTTCAGCAGTTGAGTAATATCCTACTTTATCATATAGTGGGTAGGTTTCTCGACAGGATAAAGCCAACGGATAAAAACGATATCCGTTGGGGTCATATGCGGAAAGAGATGCAAATATAAAAGGTCAAGTAGGGACTACTTTCACTGTTTATAAACAAACATGGCGTCGCACTCGTCATTCGGCGATCGAGTCAGAATTAACCATCGGGAATCTGGATAAACTACAGGGATAATTGCTTTCATTATCCAAAGGACAGTCTAATATACTGAAAATCTGTGTCTAACTGTCACGTAGCCAAGGCATTTTATAAGTTTTGGCAACTTTGGAGATATAAATTTCGAAACAATTTGGCGAGGGAACGAGGCCTAGCCAAGCGGGATCAGTAGCCATATCTGTGCTTGTAGACCTCTGCGGCTTGATACCTTCTCCATAAATTAAAATAGTTGGATTTGGCGGAAATATGTTTGAATTTTTACCTTGTTTCGTTTTGTCGCTGTGTGTCCATCTGACTACACTTCTTATCGTTATGACAGGACAGACCGACTGTCAACAACATCTGACCGTGGCCGTGACGTCTCATAGACTAGGGTTAGAGTAGCTTCCCTTTGACAAAGGGCAGTTACTCTAGCGGACAGACCGATGGATTGCCGCGAAAGGCAATTAAAAACAATTGTTGTTTTGCGTATATGTTGCTTCGCCACTGTATAAGAAACATATTTCAGTTGGAACTATATTGGCAACTGTCACTGTCTGACTGACACATCACTTACCCTGTGACGTAATAAATATAAATGCACGCATGCCAGGAAAACTCGCAATGTTTCGGTATTGTTTGTGAGAGAGGGAAAGCGATTTTGAAGCACAGAATTAAAGAATGACATTATATGATAAAGAGGTTATCACTCTTGTGTGTTTGGGGATGTTAAATATCCTGTATTAGGAATAAACACTATGTATTTAGCTCGCCAAGGCTCGCTAAATACAATGTTTATTCCTAATGCAGGATATTTACCATCCCCAAACACACTCGCGTGATAACCTCTATATATCCTCACACAATTCAGTAGGGGTGCAGAGGTCAAGTGTGTGAGTCTAATTCCCTGCTGTCATATTGATTGAATATTGCTGTTAGCAGTATTAAACCCCACTCACTCACTTATTGACAGTGCCAGCTACAGGGCCACACACCACCCCAGGCAGCTTCTACTCAGAGGTCTGTCATTCCAACATCCACGATGTCACCGTGTTTTGGCAGGTAAGAAGTAAATAGGTATTTGCAAGGGGGTCCAACCTGTCCAGTACAGGCCTAGCTCATAGGAATATAGCACGAAACTACAATGAAATACATAGAAAATTAAAATTTACTTCAGATATGAAGCAGTGTTGTACTGTGCATGCATTCACCTTCCTCTGACCTGGGCAGGATGATCCCAGGAAAACATATTGAAACTGTGATTTTTCAGATTTCAAAATGCTGGTATGTTTTTTTCTGGAGAACAACCAATCCAGGATTAAATATAATGAAATATGTGCTCTCGAATGTTTTTCTCCTTGGAACGCCAGAGCGCCTGACATTTGTAAACATTTAGTCCTTTAGTCATGTTTATAGAATAATATGTTCAAAAGCCATAAAAGTAAATGAGATAGTTGTGTCATTAGACCAGGGAAAGCTTTATGTTATAGATTGCAGCCTTGCAGTGTGTTGGATGAAACGAATGATGGGGGATGTCTAATATGGCACAACAGGGCCATCGTTTCGAAAGATATGAACTGGCAAAAAACATTGTTAAAATTTGTAATGTTTGATTGGTTGCTCTCTCAAAATAACTTCTGGCTTTTTGAAACCAGATTTTCATTTTTGTTCAATACGATCTGGTTGTCATCCCAAGAAAACATGCCAGCTGTGCTAGGGATATACCAGATTGTGGGAACGCATATGTATCTACACCACGAGGTCATGAGATAGACAGTAGCTGATTTGATCTTTTGCGTGTCCGCTGTTGCAAGATCAACAAATGATTGGAATGCCAAGGAATATGATAGTCTGTTTCTCTGCAGGAGCCTAGCGCAGCAGATCGCAATGGGAAGATCACTCGGTATTTGATGGATTACAATGGCATCAGGAGTCGGTTGGATGCAGCAGAGTTCCAGTTCACAGCTCCCAGTCTGCCTTGTGATAAACGTCAGGTTATCTCCCTGGATGCTGAGACCAGTGTGGGAGCATCAGGGAACCCATCCCTCATTGTCGTCCCACCCACAAGTCAAGGTCAGTGTTGAGATGACCATAGCCTTATGTGATTGTTCCAATAATGTGGAAGACCCCTCTTGACCATGCTGACCATATGGACCTGAGAGTATACAATTAATAAAACACTGACTATACAGACCTGAGAGCATACATTTTATAAAACACTGACTATATAGACCTGAGAGCATACATTTGATAAAACACTGACTAAACAGACCTGAGAGCATACATTTTATAAAACACTGACTATATAGACCTGAGAGCATACATTTTATAAAACACTGACTACACAGACCTGAGAGCATACAATTTATAAAACACTGACTACATAGACCTGAGAGCATACATTTTATGAAACTACAGACCTGAGAGCTTACAATTTATAAAACACAGACTACATAGACCTGAGAGCATACAATTTATGAAACTACAGACCTGAGAGCTTACAATTTATAAAACACAGACTACACAGACCTGAGAGCGTACAATTTATGAAACTACAGACCTGAGAGCTTACAATTTATAAAATACAGACTACATAGACCTGAGAGCATACAATTTATGAAACTACAGACCTGAGAGCTTACAATTTATAAAATACAGACCTTAATATATAAACCCTGGCACAGACCTGAGTGTGTACAATTTATCAGACAGTCGGTCCCATCTCATTCTCATCTGCATTTCCTTCATGCTTGAGTGTGCCTGTACGGAATTACTTTTATGAAGCAATTTTTGTCATTTGTTTGTGTGAACTGTAAACTGGAACTTTTGCTCTTTTTGGAATTGTTTATTTTTTATTTTTTGTGTTTCCAAGGCAACAAGTAGGAGTAAGGGCTTGTTTCTTTGAATTTCATGGGCCCAGTTTCTGTCAACCTGCCTATCAGACCAGGTACATCTTGCATCCAGCCATGGCTGACTTTGATGGAAGTCTCCATGTCTGGTAATGCCCCCGTTTCACTACGACAATGAATATCTCGAATCACCCCATTAGGAAAGTTTTAATTTTCGTAGATAAATCTCAATCATTTCTTGAAGTACTTAAATGAATCTTATTTGATTCCCAAACATTCGTTCAGTTTGCGGGAGTTCGTCGAATTGGTGAGAAAGTTTTTGTTTGAAAAAACTTTCATGGAAGGGTCCCCAAATTGCAATTTTGTGGCTGTATTGTAATCCATTCGTAATTAATTCTTGTGTTCTGTAACAGCTTCGTATTCGATTCTTTTGCATTCTTGGCTATTAATTCTTAGCAATTCGTGGCTCCCAAAGTTTCTTGTCCTCAACCCGAAAACATGCCGAAACAGCTTCCAATGTCCTGTGTCAACTACGAATCATGTAAGAATTAAGTAAGAACAACATTCGGCATATGCGTAACTTAGTCGTAGGTGATTCTTACAATTTGTTCATGATCTGTACATGATCTTGTAATTTGTACATGCTTCTTAACCCATTCCTGGCATTGTTCATATTTTTCAGCCCGATTAGCCACGAAAGTTTGCATTATGGGTCGAATCATCACAAATTTTTAAAGTTTCCGATTCGGGCTGATTCGGGATATTCGTGGTCGTATTGAAAGGGGGGCATTAAACAACATTCATAAAAGTCTCAGCATGGCGTAACAAAGTTGGCTGTGTCACTGACTGGGTTCTCTTTCTCACAGGTTCTAATATTCAAGATTTTGACATCGTGGTGTCTGACAGAGAGGTCAAGGCCATGTGGAAGCCACATGAAGGGGAGGTAACTGACCTGTATGTGTACTGGTGTGTGGGATCAAGGATCAGAAAGAAGTGTGAGGTATGTCACTGTTATATTGTGTGATCAGAATTGAATCTTTGCCTTCAGGATTTAACCTTGTTCAACAAGAACTAACATCGCTTTTTCAGCAAACACGTGCTGTGTCCTTTATTCACTCCCAACTAGAGTTATGTCCCTTTACAGAGTTATACAGTTTTTTCTGCCCACCCCCCACCCTACCCCCACCCCAACCCCCTACACACCAGAGATCACAAAATCTAGAAATGTTTCTCAGGCAATATGGAGTTTACATAGTTTAGTTTGCTCAAGTAAGAGATTCTTGGAGTAGGTTTGCAAAAGGCCACAACTGATGTGAAATTGCTATAGTTGACACCAATCCTTCTGGCAACACCCCCTTTGCCATCTGTTCAACATCTCTTATGACCGACAAACTTTATAAATCAGGTTTTCTTAGGTTAAATGTCACATGTACACATTTTTCAGAAACCTCTAAAATGGGCACCAGTCGGGGTCAACAGGACCTCATTCGAGATCCCTGATCTGAAGGTCGTTGTTGACGAATACTTGTTCGGTCTGTCAGCCGTCATTGACAACGTGACCACCGGTATCACTTGGGCGGAGTGTATTGTAGAGAAGGGAGCACGTGAGTGAGGAACTTGAAGTACAGTAAACTATGGTTACAGACAAAGAACACACCATGTACAGACAATAGATAGACAATGAACAGACCATGTACAGACAATGAACACACCATGTACAGACAATAGATAGACAATGAACAGACCATGTACAAACAATGAACAGACCATGTACAGACAATAGATAGACAATGAACAGACCATGTACAAACAATGAACAGACCATGTACAGACAATAGATTGACAATGAACACACCATGTACAGACAATAGATAGACAATGAACAGACCATGTACAAACAATGAACAGACCATGTACAGACAATAGATAGACAATGAACAGACCATGTACAAACAATGAACAGACCATGTACAGACAATGAACAGACAATAGATAATGAACAGACCATGAACAAACAATGAACAGACCATGTACAGACAATAGATAGACAATGAACAGACCATGTACAGACCATGTACAGACAATGAACAGACCATGTACAGACAATAGATAGACAATGAACAGACCATGAACAGACAATAGATAGACAATGAACAGACCATGTACAAACAATGAACAGACCATGTACAGACAATAGATTGACAATGAACAGACCATGTACAGACAATGAACAGACCATGTACAGACAATAGATAGACAATGAACAGACCATGAACAAACAATGAACAGACCATGTACAGACAATAGATAGACAATGAACAGACCATGTACAGACAATAGATAGACAATGAACAGACCATGTACAGACAATAGATAGACAATGAACAAACAATGAACAGACCATGTACAGACAATGAACAGACCATGTACAGACAATAGATAGACAATGAACAGACCATGAACAAACAATGAACAGACCATGTACAGACAATAGATAGACAATGAACAGACCATGAACAAACAATGAACAGACCATGTACAGACAATAGATAGACAATGAACAGACCATGTACAAACAATGAACAGACCATGTACAGACAATAGATAGACAATGAACAGACCATGTACAGACAATAGATAGACAATGAACAGACCATGTACAGACAATGAACAGACCATGTACAGACAATGAACAGTGATGTTTGTTTGTTTGTTTGTTGTTTAACGCCGAACTCAGCAATATTCCAGCTATATGACGGCGGTCTGTAAATAATCAAGTCTGGACCAGACAATCCAGTGATTGACATCATGCGCATCAATTCACGAAATTGGGATTGATGACGTACATCAACCAAGACAGCGAGCCTGACCACCCGATCCCATAAGTCGCCTCATACGACAAGAGAAGTTGCCTTTTACGTCAAGCATGGGTTGGTTGAAGATCTATTCTACCCCAGATCTTCTTGGGTCAAAACAGACAGTGAACAGAAAATGTACAGACCATGTCAGACAATGTACAGACCATGTACAGACCATGTACAGACCATGTACAGACCATGAACAGACCATGTACAGACCATGTACAGACAATGTACAGACCATGTACAGACCATATACAGACAATGAACAGACAGTGTACAGACCATGTACAGACAATGTACAGAAAATGTACAGACAATGAACAGACAATGTACAGACCATGTACAGACAATGAACAGACCATGTACAGACCAAGTACAGACCATGTACAGACCATGTACAGGCAATGTACGGACCATGTACAGGCCATGTACGGACCATGTACAGACCAAGTACAGACCATGTACAGGCCATGTATAGACCATGTATAGACCATGTACCGACCATGTACAGGCCATGTACAGGCCATGTACAGACCATGTACAGGCCATGTACCGACCATGTACAGGCCATGTACAGACCATGTACAGGCCATGTACAGACCAAGTACAGACCATGTACAGACCAAGTACAGACCATGTACAGACCATGTACAGGCCATGTACAGGCCATGTATAGACCATGTACCGACCATGTACAGGCCATGTACAGACCATGTACAGACCATGTACAGACCAAGTACAGACCATGTACAGACCATGTACAGGCCATGTACCGACCATGTACAGGCCATGTACAGACCATGTACAGGCCATGTACAGACCAAGTACAGACCATGTACAGACCAAGTACAGACCATGTACAGGCCATGTATAGACCATGTACAGGCCATGTACAGACCATGTACAGGCCATGTACAGACCATGTACAGACCAAGTACAGACCATGTACAGGCCATGTACAGGCCATGTACAGACCATGTACAGACCATGTACAGACCATGTACAGACCAAGTACAGACCATGTACAGACCATGTACCGACCATGTACAGGTCATGTACAGACCACTAACAGACCATATACAGACCAAGTACTGACCATGTACAGACCAAGTACAGACCATGTACAGGCCATGTACTGACCATGTACAGGCCATGTACAGACCAAGTACTGACCATGTACAGACCAAGTACAGACCATGTACAGGCCATGTACTGACCATGTACAGGCCATGTATAGACCATGTACAGGACATGTATAGACCATGTACAGGCCATGTACAGACCATCTACAGACCATGTACAGACCAAGTACAGACCATGTACAGACCATGTACAGGCATTGTACAGACCATGTACAGACCAAGTACAGACCAAGTACAGACCAAGTACTGACCATGTACAGACCAAGTACAGACCAAGTACAGACCATGTACAGACCAAGTACAGACCAAGTACAGACCAAGTACAGACCATGTACAGGCCATGTACAGACCATGTACAGGCCATGTACAGACCAAGTACAGACCAAGTACAGACCAAGTACTGACCATGTACAGACCAAGTACAGGCCATGTACAGACCAAGTACAGGCAATGTACAGGCTATGTACAGACCATGTACAGACCATGTACAGACCAAGTACAGACCAAGTACAGACCATGTACAGAATATATACAGGCCATGTACAGGCCATGTACAGGCAATGTACAGGCCATGTACAGACCATGTACAGGCAATGTACAGACAATGTACAGGCCATGTACAGGCAATGTACAGGCCAAGTACAGACCATGTACAGACCCTGTACAGACCATGTACAGACCAAGTACAGACCATGTACAGACCATATACAGACGATGTACAGGCAATGTACAGGCCATGTACAGACCCTGTACAGGCCATGTACAGACCATGTACAGACCATGTACAGACCCTGTACAGGCCATGTACAGACCAAGTACAGACCATGTACAGACCAAGTACAGACCATGTACAGACCATATACAGGCCATGTACAGACCCTGTACAGGCTATGTACACACCATGTACAGACCATGTACAGACCCTGTACAGGCTATGTACAGACCATGTACAGACCATGTACAGACCATGTACAGACCAAGTACAGACCATGTACAGGCCATGTACAGACCATGTACAGACCATGTACAGGCCATGTACAGGCAGTGAACAGACCATGTACAGGACATATACAGATATATAATGTATATTATATAACATTGTCTTTTTGTTCCCTAAGTTTCCCACTGCATCGTATTCAGGGCCCACAGAGACGCCGATGGGTCTTCAGGTTGAGAAGACTGCCTCCCCAACGAGCCTAAAGCTGAAGTGGCCCAAGACGAGGTGTATTGACACGGCCCTGATCACCAACTACCGGCTGTATGTCGGAGAAGTGTCCGGCAAAAGTATGCTTCGCCATGTATTCCAACAAAGTATATAGTCACACATTCCATCATTGCTGAAAAAGTCTTTTTAATTCATAGTCACATTTTAATGTGTGAATGTGTTTGGGAGTTGTGTTATTTTGTTTCAAAACATCACCAAATGAGTTCTAGTGTTGAAATGTGCTTATTATACCCAGAGTACCAGATCCTGTATAAAACTTGTGCTTGGAATGTATATGTAGTGTGCATGTAATGTGTGTGTAATGTATGTGTAATGTTCATTTTATGTGCGTGTATGTGTAATGTATGTGTGTTGTATTGTGCGTGTAATGTACGTTTGATGTACATGTATGCGTGTGTAACGACCTGTAATAAGCGTATAATGTACATGTAATTAAAAATTGACTTTCACCTTGTGTGAGTTCCTTGGAGCATGAACCTTCATAGCGTGAGGGCCAAATATTGTATGAACATCGGAGCTTGCGGCGGCGTTCATCCAATGTTTGGCCCTCATTCTGTGAAGGTTCATACTCCAAGGAACTCACACAAAGTTAAAGTCAATTCTTATAATTTTTGTATCAAAATTTCTTACCTCAAAGGATGTAGGCCAAGATCTAAACACAATTTTATTTAGTACGTGTGACTTCATGTTTACACTGACAGCCATACAACAACCAGCTATATCGTGGAGTAAAATAGTTCTTCAAAAAGAGAGGTGACATGGGCGTATGGATGCACAACTTGCTCTTCAGAAACATCTTGCTCAGCACATGTGTTTAAATCATATCCTCATTAGATGAGAAAGGTCTGTAAAGAACTACCTCAGTAAGTCAGTCACAATGACAGCGCGTCGTCATACATTTACATCATGTACAAGACGTCAAAATGGCCGACACGATAAACATGACAGGAGAGATTTCCGAAGTTGTTAATGAGCCTGTGGCGGTTACATGTGTTAGTCATCATTGATCAACTGGCCGATCATTGAAATTTGAATAAAGATGCGACAAACAGACACAAAGGTAAATTCATAGATTGCTGGAGACCGTCAATGTCAGCCTAGGCACAGATTGAGTCGATACTACGATAGTTTAGATGTGCATTTCATCGTTTGTTCATTAGGATGGGCCGTAGCGAGGATATTTGTGAACAATCATGCAGTCACGCTCTCTGAAATTTCTCAATGTATACTGAAACACTGAGACCAAGAATAAAGGTTCTAAATGATCAGAAAGAACACTTATGTATCTTTTCATGCTAGGAAATTCCCAGGGGATTCCCCAGGAATGTGGAAGTAGTCGGTCAGTGTTTACGTCATTTCAAGAACACGGTCTGGTGAAAAATGTATGAACGTCAAATTGTGTCGTTCATACACTTATAAACGTCAATTTTGCAGTCATGTGACCGGCCTCTCGTCCAGTGGAAAAGCTGTATATTGTGTAAACTTCAAATTATAAAATTATTAAGCTGTAATGAGCGTGTTGTGTAATGTACGTGTAATGTACGTGTGTTGTATATGTATGGGTGTATAATGTACGTGTTATAAGCTGTAATGAGCGTGTTGTGTAATGTACGTGTAATGTACGTGTGTTGTATATGTATGGGTGTATAATGTACGGGTTATAAGCTGTAATGAGCGTGTTGTGTAATGTACGTGTAATGTGCATGTATATGTAATGTATGTGTGTTGTATTGTGCATGTAATGTTCGTGTAAAGTATGTGTAATGTGTGTAATGTCCGTGTATTATGCATGTAATGTTTGTGTAATGTACATGTAATGTTTGTGTAATGAGCATGTAATGTACATGTAATGTGCATGTAATGTGCGTGTAATGTACGTGTAATGTAGTGTAATGTGCGTGTAATGTACGTGTAATGTAGTGTAATGTGCGTGTAATGAATGTGTAATGTACGTGTAATGTACGTGTAATGTGTGTAATGTGCGTGTAATGTCTGTGTAATGTAGTGTAATGTGCGTGTAATGAATGTGTAATGTGCGTGTAATGTACGTGTAATGTGTGTAATGTGCGTGTAATGTACGTGTAATGTAGTGTAATGTGCGTGTAATGTACGTGTAATGTAGTGTAATGTGCGTGTAATGTGCGTGTAATGTTCGTGTAATGAGCATGTAATGAATGTGTAATGTGCGTGTAATGTACGTGTAATGTGTGTAATGTGCGTGTAATGTACGTGTAATGTGCATGTAATGTGTGTGTAATGAGCATGTAATGTATGTGTAATGTGCGTGTAATGTACATGTAATGAGTGTGTAATGTGCGTGTAATGTACGTGTAATGTGTGTAATGTGCGTGTAATGTACGTGTAATGTGCATGTAATGTGTGTGTAATGAGCATGTAATGTGCGTGTAATGTACATGTAATGTCTGTGTAATGTACGTGTAATGTGCATGTAATGTCTGTGTAATGAGCATGTAATGTCTGTGTAATGTGTGTGTAATGAGCATGTAATGTGTGTAATGTGCGTGTAATGTACGTGTAATGTAGTGTAATGTGCGTGTAATGTACGTGTAATGTAGTGTAATGTGCGTGTAATGTACGTGTAATGTAGTGTAATGTGTGTGTAATGTGCGTGTAATGTAGTGTAATGTGCGTGTAATGAATGTGTAATGTGCGTGTAATGTTCGTGTAATGAGCATGTAATGAATGTGTAATGTGCGTGTAATGTACGTGTAATGTAGTGTAATGTGTGTGTAATGTGCGTGTAATGTACGTGTAATGTGCGTGTAATGTACGTGTAATGTAGTGTAATGTGCGTGTAATGTTCGTGTAATGAGCATGTAATGAATGTGTAATGTGCGTGTAATGTACGTGTAATGTCTGTGTAATGTGTGTGTAATGAGCATGTAATGTGTGTAATGTGTGTGTAATGTACGTGTAATGTAGTGTAATGTGCGTGTAATGTACGTGTAATGTAGTGTAATGTGCGTGTAATGTACGTGTAATGTAGTGTAATGTGTGTGTAATGTGCGTGTAATGTAGTGTAATGTGCGTGTAATGAATGTGTAATGTGCGTGTAATGTTCGTGTAATGAGCATGTAATGAATGTGTAATGTGCGTGTAATGTAGTGTAATGTGTGTGTAATGTGCGTGTAATGTACGTGTAATGTGCGTGTAATGTGCGTGTAATGTACGTGTAATGAGCATGTAATGAATGTGTAATGTGCGTGTAATGTACGTGTAATGTAGTGTAATGTGCGTGTAATGTACGTGTTATGTACGTGTAATGTGCGTGTAATGTGCGTGTAATGTTCGTGTAATGAGCATGTAATGAATGTGTAATGTGCGTGTAATGTACGTGTAATGTAGTGTAATGTGCGTGTAATGTTCGTGTAATGAGCATGTAATGAATGTGTAATGTGCGTGTAATGTACGTGTAATGTAGTGTAATGTGCGTGTAATGTTCGTGTAATGTACGTGTAATGAATGTGTAATGTGCGTGTAATGTACGTGTAATGTAGTGTAATGTGCGTGTAATGTACGTGTAATGTACGTGTAATGAATGTGTAATGTGCGTGTAATGTTCGTGTAATGAGCATGTAATGAATGTGTAATGTGCGTGTAATGTACGTGTAATGTAGTGTAATGTGCGTGTAATGTACGTGTAATGTACGTGTAATGTGCGTGTAATGAATGTGTAATGTGCGTGTAATGTTCGTGTAATGAGCATGTAATGAATGTGTAATGTGCGTGTAATGTACGTGTAATGTAGTGTAATGTGTGTGTAATGTGCGTGTAATGTACGTGTAATGTGCGTGTAATGTGCGTGTAATGTACGTGTAATGTAGTGTAATGTGCGTGTAATGTTCGTGTAATGAGCATGTAATGAATGTGTAATGTGCGTGTAATGTACGTGTAATGTGTGTAATGTGCGTGTAATGTCTGTGTAATGTGCATGTAATGTGTGTGTAATGAGCATGTAATGTCTGTGTAATGTGCGTGTAATGTCTGTGTAATGAGCATGTAATGTACGAGTAATGTTCGTGTAATGTTCTTGTAATGTACATGAAATGTATGTGTAATGTGCATGTAATAAGCGTGTAATGTACGTGTAATGAGCATGTAATGTGCTTGTAATGTGCGTGTAATGTATGTGTAATGTCTGTGTTATGTACGTGTAATGTGCGTGAAATGTACGTGTATGTGCTTGTAATGAGCATGTAAGATGTATGTAATGTGCGTGTAAGATATGTGTAATGTATGTGTAATGTACATGCAATGAGCATGGAATCTACGTGGAATCTGTGTTATGTGAGTGAAATGCACGTGCAAAATGTGTGAAATGTGAATGTAATGTGCTGCAGAAACTTTGCCATCTCTGCTTCCCATTTTCACCCAGCCCATATTCATTCACTGGTTTGATTGGCCCGAGCTTGATCTAAATCAGGTTGTAGTGACTATGACATTACTGTTTTCAGACATCATCAACAAGTACAACATCACCTACAACCTGACAACAGCCCAACATGTTGCTACGGAGCTTCAAGCAGGGAGAAACTACAGCTTCAGGTTGCAGGCTGTGTCCTCTGCAGGAGTTGGACCCATCAATGACCCCATTTACCAGGCGATTCCATCAGAACGTGGTGAGTTACGTGACCCTATCAGCAAGGCTATTCCATCAGAACGTGGTGAGTTACATGACCCATTCGGCCAGGCTATTCCATCAGATGTGGTGAGTTACACAACCCCAACTACCAGGCTATTCCATCAGAACGTGGTGAGTTAAATGACCCCATCTACCAGGCGATTCCATCAGAACGTGGTGAGTTACATGACCCCATCTACCAGGCTATTCCATCAGAACGTGGCGAGTTACATGACCCCATCTAACAGGTGATTCCATCAGAACGTGGTGAGTTACATGACCCCATCTACCAGGCTATTCCATCAGAACGTGGTGAGTTACATGACCCCATCTACCAGGCGATTCCATCAGAACGTGGTGAGTTAAATGACCCCATCTACCAGGCGATTCCATCAGAACGTGGTGAGTTAAATGACCCCATCTACCAGGCGATTCCATCAGAACGTGGTGAGTTACATGACCCCATCAGCAAGGCTATTCCATCAGAATGTGGTGAGTTACATGACCCCATCTACCAGGTGATTCCATCAGAACGTGGCGAGTTACATGACCCCATCTACCAGGCTATTCCATCAGAACGTGGTGAGTTACATGACCCCATCTACCAGGCGATTCCATCAGAACGTGGCGAGTTACATGACCCCATCTACCAGGCGATTCCATCAGAACGTGGTGAGTTAAATGACCCCATCTACCAGGCGATTCCATCAGAACGTGGTGAGTTACATGACCCCATCAGCAAGGCTATTCCATCAGAATGTGGTGAGTTACATGACCCCATCTACCAGGTGATTCCATCAGAACGTGGCGAGTTACATGACCCCATCTACCAGGCTATTCCATCAGAACGTGGTGAGTTACATGACCCCATCTACCAGGCGATTCCATCAGAACGTGGCGAGTTACATGACCCCATCTACCAGGCTATTCCATCAGAACGTGGCGAGTTACATGACCCCATCTACCAGGCGATTCCTTCAGAACGTGGCGAGTTACATGACCCCATCTACCAGGCTATTCCATCAGAACGTGGTGAGTTACATGACCCCATCAGCAAGGCTATTCCATCAGAATGTGGTGAGTTACATGACCCCATCTACCAGGCTATTCCATCAGAACGTGGTGAGTTACATGACCCATCTACCAGGCGATTCCATCAGAACGTGGTGAGTTACATGACCCCATCAACCAGGCTATTCCATCAGAACGATGTGAGTTACATGACCCCATCTACCAGGCGATTCCATCAGAACGTGGTGAGTTACATGACCCCATCAGCAAGGCGATTCCATCAGAACGTGGTGAGTTACATGACCCCATCTACCAGGCTATTCCATCAGAACGTGGCGAGTTACATGACCCCATCTACCAGGCGATTCCATCAGAACGTGGCGAGTTACATGACCCCATCTACCAGGCTATTCCATCAGAATGTGGTGAGTTACATGACCCCATCTACCAGGCTATTCCATCAGAACGTGGTGAGTTACATGACCCATCTACCAGGTGATTCCATCAGAACGTGGTGAGTTACATGACCCCATCAGCCAGGCGATTCCATCAGAACGTGGTGAGTTACATGACCCCATCTACCAGGCTATTCCATCAGAACGTGGTGAGTTACATGACCCCATCTACCAGGTGATTCCATCAGAACAATATGAGTTATATGACCCCATCTACCAGGTGATTCCATCAGAACGTGGTGAGTTACATGACCCCATCAGCCAGGCTATTCCATCAGAACGTGGTGAGTTATATGACCCCATCTACCAGGCGATTCCATCAGAATGTGGTTAGTTATATTAGATTTATCACACAATTCAGCTGATCTATCATATAATGTCAGCAGTCAGCATATATTCATAATAGTAAATTGCAACTTGTACTATTGTACTGATTATTGTCTGATGGAGTGTATACAAACCTGTGAAGTATTGTCTGATGGAGGAACAACGTGTATACAAACCTGTGAAGTATTGTCTGATGGAGGAACATAGTGTATACAAACCTGTGATGTATTGTCCGATAAAGGAACTATGTGTATACAAACCCCTGAAGTATTGTCTGATAGAGGAACTTTGTGTATACAAACCCGTGAAGTATTTTCTGATGGAGGAACACAGTGTATACAAACCCCTGAAGTATTGTCTGATGGAGGAACAAAGTGTATACAAACCTGTGAAGTATTGTCTGATGGAGGAACATAGTGTATACAAACCCGTGAAGTATTGTCTGATGGAGGAACACAGTGTATACAAACCTGTGAAGTATTGTCTGATGGAGGAACATCATGTATACAAACCTGTGAAGTATTGCCTGATGGAGGAACACATTGTATACAAACCTGTGATGTATTGTCTGATGGAGGAACATAGTGTATACAAACCTTTGAAGTATTGTCTGATGGAGGAACATAGTGTATACAAACCTGTGAAGTATTGTCTGATGGAGGAACATCATGTATACAGTCCTGTGAAGTATTGTCTGATGGAGGAACACAGTGTATACAAACCTGTGAAGTATTGTCTGATGGAGGAACATAGTGTATACAAACCTGTGAAGTATTGTCTGATGGAGGAACATAGTGTATACAAACCCATGATGTATTGTCTGATGGAGGAATGTAGTGTATACAAACCTGAGAAGTATTGTCTGATGGAGGAACACAGTGTATACAAACCTGTGAAGTATTGTCTGATGGAGGAACATAGTGTATACAAACCTGTGAAGTATTGTCTGATGGAGGAACATAGTGTATACAGTCCTGTGAAGTATCGTCTGATGGAGGAACACAGTGTATACAAACCTGTGAAGTATTGTCTGATGGAGGAACATAGTGTATACAAACCTGTGAAGTATTGTCTGATGGAGGAACATCATGTATACAAACCTGTGAAGTATTGTCTGATGGATGAACATAGTGTATACAAACCTGTGATGTATTGTCCGATAGAGGAACTTTGTGTATACAAACCCCTGAAGTATTTTCTGATGGAGGAACACAGTGTATACAAACCCCTGAAGTATTGTCTGATGGAGGAACATAGTGTATACAAACCTGTGAAGTATTGTCTGATGGAGGAACATAGTGTATACAAACCCGTGAAGTATTGTCTGATGGAGGAACACAGTGTATACAAACCTGTGAGGTATTGTCTGATGGAGGAACATAGTGTATACAACCCGTGAAGTATTGTCTGATGGAGGAACATAGTGTATACAAACCCATGAAGTATCGTCTGATGGAGGAACATAGTGTATACAAACCTGTGAAGTATTGTCTGATGGAGGAACACAGTGTATACAAACCCGTGAAGTATTGTCTGATGGAGGAATGTAGTGTATACAAACCTGTGAAGTATTGTCTGATGGAGGAACATAGTGTATACAAACCTGTGAAGTATTGTCTGATGGAGGAACACAGTGTATACAAACCTGTGAAGTATTGTCTGATGGAGGAACATAGTGTATACAAACCTGTGAAGTATTGTCTGATGGAGGAACATAGTGTATACAAATCTGTGAAGTATTGTCTGATGGAGGAACATAGTCTATACAGTCCTGTGAAGTATTGTCTGATGGAGGAATGTAGTGTATACAAACCCGTGAAGTATTGTCTGATGGAGGAACATAGTGTATACAAACCTGTGAAGTATTGTCTGATGGAGGAACATAGTGTATACAAACCCATGATGTATTGTCTGATGGAGGAATGTAGTTTATACAAACCTGAGAAGTATTGTCTGATGGAGGAACACAGTGTATACAAACCTGTGTAGTATTGTCTGATGGAGGAACTTAGTGTATACAAACCTGTGAAGTATTGTCTGATGGAGGAACATAGTGTATACAGTCCTGTGAAGTATCGTCTGATGGAGGAACACAGTGTATACAAACCTGTGAAGTATTGTCTGATGGAGGAACATAGTGTATGCAAACCCGTGAAGTATTGTCTGATGGAGGAACATGGTGTATACAAACCTGTGAAGTATTGTCTGATGGAGGAACATAGTGTATACAAACCTGTGAAGTATTGTCTGATGGAGGAACATCATGTATACAAACCCGTGAAGTATTGTCTGATGGAGGAACATAGTGTATACAAACCTGTGAAGTATTGTCTGATGGAGGAACATAGTGTATACAAACCTGTGAACTATTGTCTGATGAGGGAACATAGTGTATACAAACCCATGATGTATTGTCTGATGGAGGAATGTAGTGTATACAAACCTGTGAAGTATTGTCTGATGGAGGAACATAGTGTATACAAACCTGTGAAGTATTGTCTGATGGAGGAACATAGTGTATACAAACCTGTGAAGTATTGTCTGATGGAGTAACACAGTGTATACAAACCTGTGAAGTATTGTCTGATGGAGGAACATAGTGTATACAAACCTGTGAAGTATTGTCTGATGGAGGAACACAGTGTATACAAACCCATGATGTATTGTCTGATGGAGGAATGTAGTGTATACAAACCTGAGAAGTATTGTCTGATGGAGGCATGTAGTGTATGAGTTCTGACCATGTATTGAAGATAGTTTGATTCTACAACACCAGAAATATTCTTCTTATTTTTCAGGATATTTGCATTTACGGGAAGGAATTGCTGTTGCAGTTGTAATCGGCGTTATCATGTTGGCAGTCATCGTTGTCATGTAAGTATCTCCATGACAACAGTGCAGGAATAGGCCCAGATCATGTGCAGGTTGTCATTCACAGTGATATCAGGGCAAGCAGGAGGAGGGGCCCAGTCATCCGAGGCACCAGATTCCCTCTGCAGAGTTCCCTCCCAAAGACAGTGTCCCAGTTTCATCAATGACACTGATCACATTGTCTCCACCTGAACTGATCATGTTCAACACACCCTTTGTGCCTATAAGCATATTGCTAATTTCAAAAATTGCATATTGGACTTCATATGGAATTTAATTATGGGGTACGTCTGTTCATTCTTGCAAGCTGTACAATGAGGTACCTACAATTCTGACTTGTGTCCCAAATCAGTGGAACACACACTCACACGCACGCACACACGCACGCACATATATACACACACACTCCCTCTCGCTCTCCCTCTCTCTCTCATGTTATTTTAATTTTTGTTTGCAGATACATGTATAGGAAGAGAAAACAGTGCTGGGCTAAAGAAACAATCAGTTTACCCAAAGTGAGTTGCATATTCAGCACCATCACTTCCACAAGTTGTTTCCAAAATACATCTGCACAGTGTCCATCTACCTAGTGGTAATAACGGTAGTCCACAAGTACTTGTCACCAGCCGTTCCTCAAATACACTACTCTGGGACTAACCACCACATCTCAGTCCCAGGCTGCTGTCACAAAGCTGGAAAACTGCTTACTCACTGCTTTGTTAACATTGTGTGTTCCAGTGGACAAGCCCATATTCATCCCCATCACATGAGATGCTGCGGTCAGATACCTCCTGCTCCGGGTCATCCTCCCTGGATGCAACCAACCAGACTAAGGCCACTGAGGAGGTAACTAGTGACAGAAATAGAAGATATGATAATTACGTATTGTGGGGATTACAGGTTAGAATAACAGCAACCTGTGCTTATGGGACATGGGGTAGCCTAATGGTTGAATTATACACTCGCCATGTGAAGATGAGAGTTTGATTCCCCATATAGGAATGTGAAGCCTATTTCTTGTGCTGGGTCCTGATTCCCAAAGTGTTCGTAGCGTTACGACCCCTTATAACTCTATAGTTGTTGCAGGCTTCCGAATGTCGCAGGGACCTGTGATGATCTGGGTTAGAGTAGGTTCTTACCAACCCATGTTTGTTGTAAGAGGCGACTAACGGGATCGGGTGGTCAGGCTCGCTGACTTGCTTGATGCAAGTTATCCTATCCCAATTGTGTGGATTGATTTTCATGATGTCAATCACTGAATTGTCTGGTCCAGGCTCGATTATACAGTCCGCCATCAAAAAGCTTGAATATTGCTGAGTACAGCGTTAAACAGAAAAAACAAAACAAATTCTCATTGAAGTCAAATCTTTTACTCCTATGGTGGCCTCAGATCTTCATGCAGAAAGGTCTTGTATCCAAGTAAATGACCTGATTGCAATGAGACTTTGCATATGTCAGGCTAAAACTATGGTAGATATGTCAGCCATAATAAAGGTGTGTTTTTTACATTACCTCATGTTCACAAATATGGAATTTAGTGTTTGTACTACAATTAAATGGTGAATTTGAACTGAAAGCTTCACCTTGCTGTGTTGTGAGTGAGTGAGTTTGGTTTTACGCCGCTTTTAGCAATATTCCAGCAATATCACGGCGGGGGACACCAGAAATGGGCTTCACACATTGTACCCATGTCGGGAATCGAACCCGGGTCTTCGGCGTGACGAGCGAACGTGCTGTGTTGTGAAGATGGATCGGTTATAGGATCAGGACAAAGACGTATTGAATAGTTTGTAAGTAAAATAGGACAACTCTTGGACCAACTTTTGATGTTTACTTCCAGGATGTGATCTGTTCCGGTTCCAGCAACAGCACCAGGACCAACTCGGATACTAACATGCATGGCATCCAGAATGGCATCCTGTCTGGTCAGACAACCGGCCTAAAGCTGACCAGTGACCCTGATCAAATTCAGGTGGTCATTAACCCAAATGAGTCTTATGTCCAGAATGGAATCACTTATTGTCCAGACTACAAGAAGATAGGAGATATGGAGCCAATGCATGGTAATAGACCATCAGAGAATTATTCTTTATTTTCTGACGCAGGTCTCGTAGATGCAAGACAGAACCATCTTCCTTGCAGTCCTGAAGAAGATCAAGTGGTTCACAACAAAGATGTTGCCGTTCATAGCATAAATCCCATGTCACCCTATGTGAAGACCACTTTGGGCAATGTGGCTCCAGCTTTCCATCCAAACTATGTCCAAGAACAGCAGGTGACTGATGGGGTACCTTGTGTGAAGACAATCAGTGCTGAGGTTAATCATCCCAACTACCTTTCCAACACAAGCCCACCAGTTATCCTCAACGCGGATTATGTACAGGTGCCATTGGTGAATGCTTGTAAAGAAGAAGCATCTGACAATTCCAGGTCAAGGTCAGAAAATTCTGGGTCAAGGTTAAGTAATTCTAGGTCAAGGTCAGATACGTCAAGGTCAACATCTGATTCCATGGATGCGTATATGAGGGCTGGCCTTGGTTCAGATGATGTCCAAACGTCACCAGAATCTCCAACCCACCCCGACTATGTATCAGGTGTTCCCGCAGCAGGGCCTGCTGTTCTGCCACTGGAGGAACATGCTCTGGAGGAGATCCACCGGGATGGAGCAAGTCTCCACAAACCGCCTCCTGCTGGCATGGAAGTAAACCCTGATTACATTTCCATCACAGACAACTGTACTAAACTGTAGTCACTGGCATCCTCATTAAGTGTAACCCTTCCAACACATCATCTGTAATTGTAATGAGACATTCATTTTGGTGAGAACAGATAGCCACAATCTGTGCTTTGAAATCCAGTTATTCATGTCCTCTAGATTATTTTGAAACAGTCCTAGTCCCGAATCAATGCTGATTGTGCTACAACACTGACTTCTGTTGCATAATGTTCCAATCTACAGGATATAAATGTGAGACAATATTGGCACACTCTACACTGATCTACAATAACGACGCTTGAATGGCAAGGCATATCACATGGCATTGATCAGCCCTGGCAGTTGGTTACAACAGTGTTGGAACAAAAGCTAGAAAACTTGCAACTCAGTATGAGGATTTTGTTGGACAGCGCTCGTATTTCCTACTTAACCTACTCATGTAGGTGATGAGGTCATGACAATCAGCTCACTTCTACAGTACAGGTAGGACCTCATGGACAGGTCAGACTTTGATCTTTAGAGGACAGTGACCTCACTGACCTTTACATGCGTGAAATCACTGCTCATTCACGCATCCATAACAGTATTTGTTTTAACAGAAAACAGAAAGGGAAAATAATTTCTTGAAGACATTTACAGATTGTTATATGTTGATGTTGTTTTGAATGGCATTAGCTCTCTTGTTATGTTTATAGATGCAGTATTAACTTCAGGTAAATTCTAAGATGGTGGGTTTAGCCATGCTGACACTATACCACTATACATGTCCATGTAGAAGTGGCTTGGTTTCAGATTAGACAGGTATGTTCTCTAGCTATAGTCATCTAATTACATGACGGGACAGTGACCTGGATGGGACTCAACCCACAAAAGTACAAGAATCTGTACTTTACACAGAAAGTGTTATAGCAAATATAACATTCGTTCCATCTAGTCACAGGTTAGTCAAAAGTGTGAGAAGTCAATCTTGATGAGCAAGTTTCAGTCATCACTGATTCACCCATACTGCAGTGAGTATTCCCTTTGCACTGATCAGGGGTGTATCAAGGTTCTATACTAAGCGCCCATGGAAGTAAAATTGGGACAAAATCATTATTTTGTTCAAAATTGGGATTTTTAAAAAAAAAATGTTTTCCTAAATCTGGAGGTATTTTCACATTGCAATCAGTGTGATAATGTGAAATTAAGCATTAATGTCTCTTCCACTTTGTTGGCCTTGTTGTCAGTGATATACATGTGACCTCTACAAAGCCATTAACATAAGTTATAACTACTGTAAATCTGGAAATTAATGTGTCTCTAAATTAATACGACTGCTGACCCCTAGGCAAAAATGTGACTCAATGTCAATGCAACTCCCCCAACTCCATCCCCAGTGGAATGATACCTATCCTTACCTTAATCCAGTCAAACAGCAAACAGCACAGCTTATTAGCGCTGAGTAAAGCACTTCCGTAAAAAAAACAATAAACAGTGTTTTCCTAATACAACACACAGTTTATATGTTTACTCTGTTGACTGGCATTAGGGAATTTAAAGGCAATAAAATAACTGAACCAACAACAGTTCACTGATTGCTGCCCATTGTGTAACTCCTATTCTTTGAATGACATTGTCAAATACTTGTTACAACTGCTTAATTAAGCGTATTTGTGTTTATATACAAGTTGGTATTTCCACTATCCAAAGTGTCCAGTGAGGCTGTCTTATTGTTGATAGTCATTTAGAGACATAAATGCGAAGTTAATTAATGCAAGTGTAGCGGCCATAAAATTTCCGAGTCCCGTGATGGCCATGGGATTCGAACCACAGACCTTCTGAGGTCGGACACCTTGTCCACATGACCAAAGAGGTTAACCCTGTCAGCAAGCTGACAAGGTAAGGATGTCATCTGTGGGATGACTCCATGCCCTGCTACACAAGCAAAGACCACTGAAATTTTTCACATGTAATTCACAGCTCGCGTTAATTTCAAGATTTACAGTATAGAACATAAAGTGGAAAAATTCTAATTCCAATTTGGGAATTTTAAATGATATTTGCTGCAGACTTGGGGCCAAATATCTGCCTCAGAGCAGGTCCCAGTACATCCCTGCTGATGATAGCAGAAGCAACACATGTTTTGATATGTGTCTTTTGACTCTGTGGCAATAGATTACATGTTTTCACTATCAGGAATTGCAATTTGGTTATATTGTTTAATTAAATAAAGTAGCAATAGTATTTACTCCAATTGATTGATGATGGCAAAACATTTACTTGCCTGACGTTTGTCTGTCTCGTGTCTAGAAAATCCAATCTGTTTATTGACTTTTAAATGCCTGTTTTTTCATTTTCTGGTCATTGGTCAATATGTCTGATAAATCCATGTGTACTGGGGTTTGCTAGGTTTTTTTGTCTTTAGTACATTGTGTAGTATTAAATCATATTGTTTCATGAACCACCCGAGATTTTATAAAAAATGTGCAATTTTTCAAGTTTTGAAAAACATATTTTCATGTTTTCAGAAAACAGCATCATCAGTTGATCATAACACATTTCATATTCTTATCATGTTGGTCAAAAAAACAATTAATTCGAATTAATCATGAGTGTTTTAGTAGTTATATTTGTGATGTAGGGTCATCAGAAGGCTATTTTGTACAATGATACAACATATTCCACAGTTTCATACTAAGGGCATCATCATCAACAGCTTCAGCCACTCCACATGAGGAAGATGCAGGACCCATGATGCAGTAAACAGTCATTTCAAACAACAGTATATGATTCTGTTGATGAGATTTTCTTTGGCAGCAGCCATATTGAAAAGCTATTTATGCCATTCTTCAGCCATTTTTATATAAAATGTAATACCGTATTTGATGTAATAATTAGAAATAGGGGGCTCTTATTAGAATATTATTTTGGTGAAAAAAACAGAGTTGAAAGATAAATTTCATGATTTATGATGACAGCATGATGAGCTACAGTGATGGGACACTACTTATTAGATTTAATTATTATTTTTTTTAATTCTCATCCAAAAAAGGTAATTCAATTAAATTTAAAAAGATTTAATGGAATCTGGGCTTGCTCTATTCCTTTGTTGTAGCTTTTGTCTCTGGCTGGTAGAAACCGTAAAAGCAAAAAAATACAATACTCAATTTGTAGTCATCTAGTCATTGGCCCTAGTTCTACTGCTGAGTATGACAGCATTATCTCCCCTTAAATACTGCCAAGTTGAAGAGTTATCTCCCTTGCATAGTTATCGCAGGGATATATTTGTAGGCCTGGGTTATTAACAAATCTATTTTGTGATATGGATTGCAATGGAGATCTTAACTTGTGTTGTATATTTAGATGGATATATTTCTAGAATGACAATGATTGTTACCAGTTTTCACTATAACCTTGACATAAACATTCATTGCCATCATAAATATATATGTAAGAAAAGATTCAGTGGTGAAAGTTGCATCTTAGAGCTGATTGTTGTGGTTGACAGGAGTGAGATTATTCCTGCAGTCAAGTCACAGCAATACCTTTTGCCTCCATGTTTCCAGTAAGGAACAATAAGTTATCTACTTGTTTTTTCAGCAACCCAGCTTTCTGTAAGAGGCGACTATGCTTGTTGTAAGAGGCGACTAACAGGATCAGGTGGTCAGGCTCGCCGACTTGGTTGATGCATGTCATCGTATCCTAATTACGTAGATCAATGCTCATGATGTCAATCACTGGATTGTCTGGTCCAGATTCGATTATTTACAGACCGCCATCATATAGCTGGAATATTGCTAAGTGCGGCGTTAAACAACAAACAAACAATATTAGGTTTTTATCCCCGTCTGCCTTAGTACTAAAGAGTTCATATCATTTTAGGGACCCAAACAGGCCATTTTGAATCACAAAACAGTAAATGAAAAAGTAAAATGTAAAAAATAAATAGAAACAAATTGTGAAAAATTGGAATGACAATCTCTTATGGCTTAATTTTCTTCCATCCGTCCACCCATGAAAGTATTACCATGTTATCAGGAACTTGACCACGACAAGCCTCTAGTTGTGTGGGGTTAGTGGACACACATACATGTAAGTCAGGCTTTGTTCTTTAAGGAATGCTGATGTAATAAATGTGGTATAAAGAAGCCAGCTTGTGAGACTTATGATGGAACATATTGCTGTTAGTCAGGAATGCTTTCTGATTTTAAATGGCTGTTTGAATCTTTAGGCTTTGCATGTTAAGGGTGTGTTGTTAGAATAGGTCATGTCATCACTGTGTGGGTGTGCTGGTTAGACTGCTGCGAGTTACCGTCATTGTTGAAGCTACATGCCGTTAGACCATTGTGGTGATTCAGTAGACAGACATGTTGTAGTGATTCAGTAGACAGACATATACTGTTGTTGTGATGCCGTAGACAGCCAACAGAATTGGAGATATACAGTAATTGATGGAAGAACTGAAGAATGGGGGTATTGAGACTCTTACATTAGAAATAGGAATCTAGTCTATTAATTCATGTTGATGCAATAATCTTCCGACATACAGTCAAGTCTCGTTAATCCGACACTCGTTAATCCGACACCCGGCTTTATCCAACACAAATGATGGGACCGATTGATTCAGTGCTATTTAGTCCTGATAATCCAACATTCTCGCACTCCCACTCCGACACACCTATAATTTGCAACGAATTACCGAAATCATGCATTAATCAGTCTTGTTAATCCGACACAGTGGTCAGCGTACTCCGTGTGGTCAGCGTACTCCGTGGTCATCTGCCCGCGAGTACACAACCCCGTGTTTTGACACGCACTGGCTGCAGAGATTAACTTAACAATTAACAGGAAAAGCTATTCAAACCTGTATGTACAAAGCTATACAAATGTAGTTTACAAACTGAAGCCAGATAAATGTGCATGAAGCCAGTTTAAAATACGAACAGGTATATAAAACATGGTCGAATTCAGTGAGTAATGTCTCTATTGTTATGTATAAATGGGAAAATTATTATTATTTTGCAATGTCATTAATTATAAATTAAGGAATGAATGAATAAACAACATAACAATATAAATATTTCGTTTTTAATGATTATATTACAAAGTACACACGGTTATTATCTATCGTGAAGATGTACGATTTTCAATCACAAATCACTTAATTTCGTTAATCCGACATACTCGTCAATCCGACACAATCATGTGCAACCAACGATGTCGGATTAATGAGACTTGACTGTATATATATGTATAGATAAGTTGTTGACCCAAAAGTAGATGAATGTTTATCATGCTTTGTCCTCGTCTGTTGGTACATACATCCCAAGACAGGCACGCATGCAAACCATGCATGCATGCCACGCACACACGCACGCACGCATGCATGCATGCCACACACGCACGCACACTTCCTACTGAGATTGCATAACCCAGCTGAAGTAGTGAGTGGGTTGGGGTGTTTATGTTAACAAAATTGGAGAGAGGATTAACTGGAGAACTGAGGAATCTTGGTATTGAAACTCTAGTCATGTAATTCATGTTTATGCAATAATCTAACAACAAATATGTTGTCGACATGTAGCTTAAAGCTGACAAGTATTTTGTGCTTGGTCCTGGTCTGTTTGTACATACAACCCCCCCTCTCCCCTCCCCCCCTCTCCCCTCTTTCCCCCCACCCCCACCCCCCACCCCCCCCAACTGAGATTGTGCCTTGTTTTGTTTCTGTGTTATTCTTTTCCATGTGTCCATATTGATATTTTCAAAATTGTTTTGAAATAAATTCAAGTTAAGTTTTTTGTTCTGATATGATGATATTATTCTGAGTTCCATGAGACCTTGTTTACTGTTACTTCAACTGGTTATGACCAGACTTCCTGGCACCACCACTGTGTCTTGGCATGATTGGGGCGGTCGGGTAGCCTTGTGGTTAAGGCGTTCGCTCGTCACGCCAAGGACTAGGGTTCGATTCCCGACATGGGTACAATGTGTGAAGCCCATTTCTAGTGTCCCCCGCCATGATATTGCTTGAATATTGCTAACAGCAGTGTTAAACCTCACTCACTCACTCACTCACTCACTCACTCACTCACTCACTCACTCACTCACTCACTCACTCACTCACTCACTCACTCACTCACTCACTCACTCACTGATAATGTGTCCATGGTCCTGAGGACTTAACAACTGCCACTGGAAAAGTCGGGGAAAATATTCAAACACCACGTGAAGTGGCCATAATTACAATTCAAACACTTTGCTTAAGATAATTTGCTTAATTGTAAAGTAGTGAAGACCCTAATGATATTATTATTCCTCACAAGGCTAGACCATTTTACTCCAGTTATAGTGAGTGAGTGAGTGAGCATGGTTTTACGCCGCTTTAGCAATATCACTGTGGGGGGACACCAGAAATAGGCTTCACACATTGTACCCATGTCGGGAATCGAAACCCGGGTCTTTGGCGTGACATGCGAACGTTTTGTGTATTTATCCCTTGCATGCTTTTTGCCAGTGAAGACGTATTGTGTTGTAATAGAAATCAGTGTTGTGTTAATACAGCACATGATGTAGGTGTCTCTCGCAACAGATGATGTCGTCAGCTGGGACTGAGACGGGTAACTCGGGTACTCAAGTCAGGTGGCATCTTCCCGAGGCAAAGGAATATAAAAGTCCAGTTTCCTCCCTTGCCGAACTAGGCTGGTATTATGGAGTTACGTATTGTCTGGACTAACGAGTCTATGCATAGTCCAATCAAAATTGCGCACCGAAATCCGGTTCGTAAACTGTCGTGCAGATGTCCATCGATTGCAGGATTTGCAAAACATGTGCATCGCCAATTCGTTGTCAGCAGATATTTTTCAAATCCTTTCATGTTTTTAATCAAGGTGCTCACGTGATTTGATGCATTTCGCGATGTAAGACCCATTTTATCACAATATAGATGTTGATTATTGATCAGATCGTCCTGACTGGGCGCCACCTTTTTTGTGTGAAGCAAACGCAAGTGATACGAGAGGTGGAATCTGATTGGTCCATAGGAGAGGCTTAGAAGGGACATAATTGGTAATAGCCACTGGTGGCGCAACGATCAAGCGCAGTAATTCCAGCCTAGTTCGGCAAGGGTGGAAACTGGACTTTTAAAGTCAGTTAACTCCCTTGCCTCAGGAAGATGGTCAGGTTGGTTTACACATTTTTCTCTCAAAATCAAATTACACTGTTCAAATATTATATTTTTTGTTTCTCTTGAGACCGACAGCAGGTACCCAGGTAGGGTAGAGTAATAGTGGGGTCGGTACCCACGTAGTAAATTTGGACTCGTCCCAGCTCTAGTGTTGACTGTTTGTCCAAATTATTCACAGTCACTCAATTTTCATGTTACAGTTGTCGTACAGACAAATGATTTGCCCACTGGTACATTCATTACTTTTTACTAAATACTTCAGTGTTGTTAAAGCAATACAGACAAAGTTTGTCACCTCTCTTCACTACACCTTTCTCCACTACACCTCTCTCCACTATACCGCTCTCCACTACAGAGGGCTTGGGTGGCCCAGTCGTCCAAGGCGCCACGATTTGCTGTGCAGAGTTGCGTCCCTTGGGCACGCCAGAAACCTATGATTGTGGGTTCAAGCTCCTGTCCGCCCTGATTATGTTTATAGGTTTGTCGGCACCATACCCGTGATTGTGGATTTCACCGAGGTGGTAAACGTCTGAGACCCGCATCACTTCGGGCTTTCCTCCCACATTACCTGACACGCTGCGATATAACTGTAATACTCTCTCCCTCTTTCTCTCCCTCCCTCCCCCCTCTCTCTCTCTCCCCCTCCCTCCCCCCTCTCTCTCCCTCCCTCCCTCCCTCTCCACCTCTTTCTCTCTCTCTCTCTCTCTACTACACCTCTGCACTCCACATGCAACAACGGGCATTTCCCCAGCATCTTTTCTCAAACTCACTGCCTACAACTATACAGGACTGCAGTTTGCCCTTGCATCCACTGCACTGTATAACACTTGTCACGCCAAGATTACCAATCTAGTTTCTTGTAATGTCGCCCTCTTGTAACGGTCCATCTCAACCCAATTGAGCACCAGTACACTCTCAACCTTCAGAGAGGAGTTTTGAGTAAGGTTGTTTGTTATCAGTTGGTTTACAATTTTTACTCTCAAAATTGTGAGTTAAAAAATATTACACACTGCAATTATTATATTTTGGTTTCTGAGGAATATGGATTTCAGTAGGATGAGAAAAAATAGGATTCCAAATTCTCTATTTTATTTCAGGCATTTTTTGAATGTGTCAGAAATGTTAATACTTTTTATAGTGTTGCCATGGGAACAGCCTGCATTGTTAGGAGTACCGATGAAGCTGTGAAAAGTATTTTGGTACACAGCTACGGGTCATTAGGTTGTACTGCCCGTCTCAATCATGCAAGGAAGGAAAAAATTTGTGATTTTTAAATTCATAAGCATGATTATTAAGCTCTATATTAACATTAAAGATGTTTCAGACTTGATCAGTTTTCTCATTCCCTTGTTTTTAGTATAGTCAAATCCAGAAACCAAGTGATGGAAAATAAAACACCTGACGTGCTTCTAATGATCCTGGTATGACGACATAGACACATATACTAATGCCTTTTTGTATTGTTGTGAAATAATCATGAAGTGAGACTCTGTCAAACAGAATAGAATTTGCTTGAGTTCTTGTAGTTATTGAGTTGTGGCCCTTGGCCATGCCAGGATCCACTGATTTTTAGATAATTAAACTTGTGTTTACCGAGTGGCATTGGGCTTTCCTCTCACAGTAAGCTCAAAGCTCTGTTCAAAGCCTTTTCTCTGTCAATGTTATTGTTCCTCTGTTATATCTATGCATATCTATTGATTATGCAATATCTGTTTGTATTAGTTCTTCAAGTTTATTTTATTATCTTGTGTTTATGTGGCTGCAGTTGGTTTGAAAACTTTTTCTCATTTTATTTCAGTTTTGCGAGCTTTGTTATTTCAAACCAAATGTGCCATTTATTTCATGCCCCTAATTCATTTTTTTGTTCATGTGGTAAGGGACATATTAGTTCAAAGGTTATCTCCCTTTAATTCACTGTGGGTTCAAATCCACTCTCCTACCCAGAGTTCCATGCGGCCAGCATAGTACCTCTGCCACAGGCCAGCGCCATCTTACGTCACAACTTACACAGTCCATTCAAGATATTGCATATGTTTTTCATCTGTTTCATTTTTAACAAGTCTACATATCTAGACAAACATATGTCATAGAATGGTTAACTTCCATTGAGAAAGTATCCTAAATCATGAAAAACCATTTCCATTTGGGTAGTTATCCTATGTTTACGGCTCCACGTGCTGTCATCCAAGCCCTACGGAGAGCTAGCGGTACGGTCGCTTTTATGTGTAAATATGTATTGTCATGCAACTCACTGTCGCAGTTGTAGTAGCATATGTATATAATTATGCAAAGTAATATGTAAAGCGCGCCTAAATACTTGCATTTGTCCGTTCTATTCTGATTTCTGTAAAAGCGCGTTTGTTTACAAATAAGAGAAAAGTCCGGTCACATGATATGCAAATTAGCCTGTGGCAGTGGTGTTATGCTAAGTATACGAAGGGCGTTTGTTTACAAATAAGAGAAAAGTCCGGTCACATGATAAGCAAATTAGCCTGTGGCAGTGGTGTTATCTAAGCATATGAAGGAAATCCGGTGATCTCAGACACAGACATGTGTCTTTTGGTGCTAATTTCATCCACGTTTTTGAGTGCATGTGGCGAGGACAGTGTTGAAACGGGCAGAATGTTGCGGTCAGACTTGTCACTGAGGAACAACAGTGAATAAAACGCCATACAGACTGAAAGGACTGAATCTCTTTTCACCTCATATTTACGTGGCTTTGATTTACTTAGTTTTTTAATAGTTTCATGCAGACACTTTTGCTTCAATAACTTCAACCAATGTCTCTAATATACAACAATTCCACATGGCCATTATCATCAAATGACCCATGAAACATAAGACAAAAAATGCCAAGATTATTATTGCTTTCAGATTGTTCTTTGATATTTTTGTTGTAATTTATGT